CCAGTTTTTCGCTCAACCTCAACGAGTACCGAACGGTAGCGGGGACCATGCACGCATCGACCTCGTAAGAATATAGCAGCTGACAATAATCAACAGTAGCAAAGTACACAGAAACAGGGGGTGCACCCCACACTTTCGTGAAGCTGTGTTGGGGGAGGGGGAAATTTTGGAAATGGTCCCACGGATTTTAAAGATTGCCATGGGTTATTGAGGACGTTATTTCAAATTTTCAGCTTTATTTCGCGGACGTAAGGGGCGTCGCTTAGTACGCCTGATCGGACAAGCCTTGTTGCATCCAAATCCGACGTTATTTGTAATAGCTGTTTGTTGGCTAAAACACATCTAATATACGTTCCTGGACTGGCAGTGAAAGTACACTTGCTTTGACAACGTGAGATAAAAATGTGAGTGAGATAAAAATGTACATGTTTACGTAGCATATGCATCCAAAAACACCCTATCACTTCCATTTAAACGCGCAATTACGCACACGAACGGAAGACTGCAATGGACGCTTTAGGCGTCCGGCACCCTCACGGCGTCACTGCCGCCAATGCACCAGTTTGGGAAAAACTCACGGTAGGGTCGCGCTTATTAGTGGTGTGATGTTCCCTGACCTATAGCTCTGAGTTTTAGAAGAGACGGCTTGATGGGATGCAGAGCGCACGCGCATGATTCTTAAGTTTCAATGTTTATGTCCGGCACGGGCTGTTTGTCCTCATTACTTGACATTCCGGAGAAACTTTTCATGGATTTAATTCTAGGATCCAGTCCAATCTCATCATACATTTTAACTGTAAACTTTCCACCTCCCGCACTTTTCTACAAATGTTAAGCCCCGCCCATCCGATTCGGGGAAGCAAAAACGTTCCCGAAACAATCCAGATTAATTCAACCCCAACCCGACCTAAAATGACATTTGAGGTAAATATGGGGACTCTTCTTAAACTGACATTCTCCGGCAATTATCAGTCCGTTTCATTTCGTTTGGCCGGTTGATTTCTCAATATTTCCAATTCATTATCCCACAGGGTGCTCATATATCAATGGCGATCATTGCTACCCCTTTAAGAAAAAGGAGCGCAACGCACGTCATTGGACAACCTTTTATGGGACGCCAGCGACTGCGCATGTCATACTGGCTCTCAGGGGCCGTGGCTTTAACGGGGTTCGAAGCTGTGGACCCCTCCACGTAGAAGCCGAGTGTTCTAACCAGCTCGCCATTACACCCCTCCCCAGGGGGGGGGGGGGGAGGGGCATTATCGGCGCATTCGCTCGTCTGCCCGTAGGTTCTCACACATAGCTTGCGTAGCTTGCATCCCACGGTTACAACTAATGCGCTCCTTTACCTTCGGGATATGCTCTTACCCGGCCTGGGGGTGCCGACCTATTAGATTTAGAGTTAGACTTCGCAGGGGCCTTAATTAGCGGGATTAGAGTTCTACTTCTAAGTTAGCGGGATTAAAAGCGCGACGGTGGTAAGTTAGGGTGCACCCTCTACATGGGCCTAGACCGCTCCCTTAACTCGGCTTGGGGTGTCCTTCTGCAGCTGTCTACGTGCCGTTGTTTGTGCTCTTCTCCACACGCTGACCTGGGGTGTCCCTTTCCGTAAGTTTATGAGCGTCCGCCTCCCACTTTTCGTCGTCGAGCGCGACCTTGACCTTGATCGCAACCTCCACTTCGAATCGGCTCTATACCTGGGCTGGGTGGGAACCTGCACATGGTCTTGGGGCCTCTCATTTACCTCGGAATCAGGTAGGCATAGCTAGGTTACGTGCGTCCGCCTAGTGGGCCTTTTGAGCGTCCTTCTACCGGGCTTGAGGCACGGCTCTACATGCTTCCGGTAGGACGCTCCGCTGGAGCGTGTTGCTGTTTGTTCTTTTACACGGGGTGACACGCATCTACTTGTGCCTGGGGTGCCCCCTACCTGCGTTTATGGCCGCCCCTCCATCCATATTTGGAGGGGCCTCTCTGCCGGGGCTCGAGGACACCTGCAGTTTCAGGAGTTGATATTTAGGCGCCCCTCTATCCAAGCAAACAGCGTCGTCTCTCTTGGAACTGCGGGCACCCATCCAAGCTCAGACCTTCCTTGCCTCTGCTTAGGGAAACAGCCCTGTCTGTGATTGGAGAACGCCACCACGCGTGCACTCAGAACGCGATCCATCCGAGTTTGAGGCGTCTTTTCGTCTGGACTTGCCATCACCTGGGCTTGAAAGGCGCCGCCGTGCTCGGTGCTCGAGACATCCCCTTTTCGTTTCTAATAACAGGGGCGCCTTAGCCGGACAAAGGGCGCCGAAATGTCCAGGCGCTAAGGGGGATGGACGGGCTTTTGCCCCCCCCCCTCCCCTCCTCTTCCTGGGTGCAATACTGACAGCAACAACCGGCAGATGCGCGTAAGAGCTGAGGTTACCGCCCCACGAGCTACGACTAACCCCAGCAGGTGAACCCGGGGCGCGCTCAGCCTCCTGTGAGTCCTCAGAGGTCGCGCGAAGGTCACAGGGTCACAAAACGTCGCGCTCCGACGGGCGGTTGTACAACACAGTTACGCCATCATGACGCCGTGCATTACGGCGGCTGACAAGAGCACCAGCCCGTGCCGGTGGCCTGATTTTTGGCACGCGATGTTATGTGGTGACCCGCCTGGGCGTGGTCTTCAGCACCACTGGCGAGCCTATCGGGACATGACAGGCAGAACAGGCCAAAAGCTGGTATTCGCCATGTCGCTTCCAGGTGTCAGAATTCGGCAATGAAAGGAAATCGATGCGTGATTATCTTTGGACGGCGGAGGGGGGAGGGGTGCATTTAGCAGCTGCCGTCACTCCACGTCGGTCTCTCTTTTTCACTCGGCTGCCGCTCGGGACGCCGGAACTCTGGGCCACAAATCGAGGCGTGTCCAGCTGGATTTCTCCTGGCGCTCGCACCGGCTCATTGGTCTGTTAAACGGTGACGTGGGGGGATATTAATGGCTACCCCGCCATCGACAATGGGCGTTTTGGGTACGAAGTCAGCATGGCCCCGGGATGAAACGAGCGGCAAGTATTGTTTTAGCCAGGAACAATGGAGTCGGTGCGCTGGGACCACGCATTGTCCGCCACGGCGCGGTCAGGGGCCAGCGATTTTGTATATCGCAAATCTAACCGCGCGTGGTGCACACACCACGGATGGTCTGCGTCAACGGCTGATAACTTGTGCGTTTCTAAGCAGACCGGGCAACGGAGATCCTCTCGTGATGGTTTTCAGCGTGTTATACAGCTGGGCCTTACACAAACAGACCACGGCTCTGGCAATGTAAGCAGATTCATGAATAGTCGGCTGACCTTCCCACGTTCGGGGCTAAGCCTCGCAAACAAAGCCAGGGTGACCTCCTGATTCAACATGCCAACGATGCTGCTGCATACCAAGCCAGTTAAAATACACACTTAACGCTGTCCGTAAGACGAGTGTTAAGCGTTTTCGGCCCATCATGCCGTTTATATACACACTAAACTAGCGCCTTGAACCCTGCAGGGCCAACTGTCAACATTTCACCTCGCGTCCGGCACGGAGCGTGAATATGATCTATCTAGACCAAACAACGCGTGCGGCCCTCGCACGTCAGCAGGGACGACGGTCCCCGCGCGCGGGCCACACCAACGCCTAGTGCGCCAACCACCCGACGGCACCCACGCCTACAGCAACCACGCACGTCAGCAGGGACGGCGGTCCCCGCGCGCGGGCGACACCAACGCCTGGTGCGCCAACCACCCGACGGCAACCACGCCTACGGCAACCAGCACCAGCCCGGTACTGCTTCCAGACCGGGGACGGTCGGCCAGCCGCCAGCCGGCTCCCGCCAGTCCCACCACCACGCGGCAGGACACCACATCCACACCGGCCGTGAGGCAGCGGCGACGAGGGCCGCTCAGACTGCGCGAGGGGGGGGGGGGGGGGGCAAGACGGACCCTTGGGTCTCGACGTGGGTGTTCGACCGCGTCCTGGAGATGCACGTCATCAGTCAGACGCGTCGTTCCGCACGTGTGGCACAGTGACGCTCCGTGAAAAAGCGCGATGACCGGACAGCGCGAGCTGGCGCCGAGACGACTCGCCACCGAGCTGAAGTCGGTCCGGGGCGGGGTGCGATCAGGCGCGAGGGATCCACCAGAACGTACACGTCATAACCGCGGAAACCGAGACGGCACCAGCATCAGGCGCGGGGACCGCCCGCGGTCCCGCTGAGAGACGTCTTCTGCACCAACTCGACAGTACCGCGGGGCCGAGTGACGAGATAAGTAACGCCGTAAACGCTCACAACACACCCCAGATGCCGCAACATCCGCTGACAGCGACGACGAGGTGGCGGCTCGGCGACGGAGTGTGAGCGCGCTTGAGCGCACTGCGAGCTCCATGAACGCGGGCGTTCATTCCGTGATGGACCTCGGAGTGACCGACGATGGGTGCTCAGCCGGCGGAGTGAGTGGACGGTGGCGGCGGATCGACGGGAGGCAGGACGGGCGGGTCTGGTCAGGTGCGGAGGCTCGGGTCAGTGATCGGTCAGCCGGGAGGCGTCTAATCACGCCTCGCGCCGCCCCATTCCGGCACGAGGTCGCGCCACAGGGCAGGTGCAGGACGTTACTCAAAGGTCACGCGGGGCCAAACAGAGCTGCCGCCGTCGATGGCGCGCCAGGGCTGCAGGTGGGCCGCCGACCGCAGCTGGCGCAGGCGCGAGCAGGCGGGTCACACCCCGGATATGCCCCTCCCCTCCCCCCTCCCTCCCGGCTCTCATCACTCACGATGCCATCCCTGTCCTCACCTTCCCCAGCCTCGCCCTCACCTTCTCACTCTCACTCTCATCTTCTCTGTCCCAAAATCACGTTTTCTCTCCGACTGTCATTCCCTCCACCCGCACCTCTGCTAACATTCTCGCCCAGATACTCTCTCACACCACACGCCTTGCTCACCCCCTCTGCTCCAGCGCGCCCATGCCGTCCCTCACTGCTCGGCTCCTGGCGCCGAATACTCACCTTAGCACCCAGCTCGCTGTTGTCGGATGGCTGGGTGCCGGCGGTCGCTGCGTTAAACGTGGACCTGTTGGAGGCGTTCTTCTCGATGGCGCCCATCAGCGCGTTCACCCAGTCATCACGCTCCTTGCTGGAGCTGTAACAGGCGGAAGCGACGCGTCACCATCATGGCGATGGTGATGCGGGTGGTGATGTCGAAGGCGGCGCTGACAATGGTGGTGGTGGTGATGGCGATACCGACGGACAATGCGACAAGACGGTAATATGATGATGACCGACACGCTGCGTCGATTGTGGCGACAGGCCTGGGCTTCAGGCCGCTGCGGGAGCCTGATCATACGAAGCCCACCAGAAGCCGGCCTTCAGTGCTCCAGCGAAAGGCTGGGAGATCTGTCCCACCGAGCGGCATCGAGAAACAGCGCCAAACGGGGAAAATGTCCTCAGCGTGACTGAACTTTCCTGACCGACGCGTCACCGGTTGCTGCCCGACCGGCGCATCGATCTCGCAGGACCACGCCACCCGGGAAAACTCCGATCCTCCGCTCCGGAGCGACAAGTGACGCTCAGCACTGACGGGCAGAACAGCCAGGCCAGGACCCCTTATCAACAGGATACTTCTGTATTGATTTCAGTCTCTTGGTAGGTTACAAAACCAGCACCCGACTTGCCCTCGGCAACGGGAAGCCAATCCCTCGGTCAAGCCAGCGCAAGCAAGAAGCTGCAAGCGTGCGGCTAATTGAGTGGAGCACACGCAATGCGGGCATTGGCATCTGCTACTTAGAGTCGATAACGAGCCAAAAGTAAGTAAAAGGTCGGTAACATCAGAGCCAACGCAGAGCTATTCTTACAAGAATGCTGGGCATTACCCAGGCGGGCATCGGCCATCACGCCAGCTCAAGACGGCGGTATGTCCAGCCGCCAAAAACAGCGGCTTCCGCCCGTCTCCCGTCGTTACGGCATCGCCGGGGTATCCCCTCCCTCGCGCTGGCCAGAGCATGGGGTCCGCCTGGGAGAGCCGCGCGCGCCCAACAACAGAGCCTGAGGTCATGCAAAGCAGGCGACGGCGGCGCGCCGCCCGGTCGATGCCAGTGGCCTTGGCGGGTCGAGACGCAGGTGGCGCCACCGGCGGCCGTGCCAGGTGGCAGCACCGGCGACGCGCCAGAAGGCGCCACCGGCGGCGGCGCGACGGCCGCAGCAGCCCCGCCAGGTGGCGCCACTGGGCCGGCCGAGCGCGGCGTGCGTCTCCGGACGTCCCGCTAATGCAGCCATCGGTGCGGACGTCAGGGCAGTGGCTGTGGCTGTGGCTGGCTGGCCTGTGATAGCCCGTCGCACCAAGACCGTTCGGTGCTTCTCTTTAAATGGCGCTTTGAGCAAATGTTTTATGGGGTTCACTTTTCCAGACCATCAGCGATGAACTGTTAGTTAACGTTTAGTTAGTTTAACGTTGTAGGTTCATGAAACGGATGAATTGTAACGATCGTGAAGTTAATGTCCCAGTAAATCGCACGCATGCACCATTTTTGGCCACATCTTCGGCTTATTCATGTCAAGTGTGTTGCACCAAGGTGCCAGATTTCCCGTGGAAAGTGGAACAGAAGCACGTTGAAAGATTAGCAAGTGCGGGACAGTGAGCTTTGCTGCGTCGACATTCGCCGTGTTTAAAATGTATGGACTAAAATATGAATTACATCTTGTATAAGTGTATGTATATGCGCGTGCATTTCCCTGTGCCTACAACTAGTGTACATATATATATATATATATATATATATATATATATATATATATATATATGCATATATACATACATGCATATATATATATGTATATATGCATATATATATATGCATATATATAAATATATATATATATATATATATATATATATATATATATATATATATATATATATTCAACGTACACTGCAACATTGAATGACAAATCGCATCACATGACTAAGTAACATAATTCCCACGTGTCTCAATTAAGTGAATTCGTCCAAATCGTTTACGATATGCAAAGAGGCTGAAAAATTTCCTACGGCGACAAACATGCCCTAAAACCGCCTGTGGATTTAAAACCACGCTGCCTAAACATAGCTTGCTGCAGAAACAATGACCTCGCCAAACCAGTGCAGCAACTGCAAATGAACTTCCAATTTGGCTGCCATATTTCAGCGGGTCATGCAAGGCCCCGGCTGGCGCGTTGGCTCACGTCAGCGTGGTCCCTCAGCCACGGTGCCGGACGTCAAGACAGTCAGTCTCTTTCAACCACCACCCGCCTCGCACTGACCAGCTACATAAGCGCCGTGTCGCGAACGCCCGTGTCCGTTACGCAGCTGACCGATATCTGCTCACGACTAAATGAGCTATGTAACGGCATGTACAAAGTGAAGTGCATAGGTAAATGCACGCCATTTTCACCAACAAGCGGATGCACTCCCGTGTGCTGGACCACAATAGTAGTGGAAGCGATCGAAGGTTTTCCTGAAGTAAGCACATACGTCATTAAGGGCAATCTCGGTCGAGCCCGTCAAGAACAAATGTCTTCTATTGGAAAGGATACCCATGAGTGCCTTCAAGCAAAAATATGCTGACATGAGCATAACGCACACTCATAGCAGACACAATAAAACAATATAAATCCGAGGGCAGTTATCCTCTTGAGGTCAGTTTTCCGTTACCATGCGAATATGGGAAACCACATACAAAAATTCCGGTTCTCCTTCACCATACGTTGACCCCAGGGAAACAGTTATCATCCTCCGCCCCGGACCCACGAGCTCAAGAGTGTCCACCACGTGAGCGCTCCGAGCCACCGGCTGAGCCTTCCGAGCCACCGTGGTCGTGAGCACCCGAGCCACGGGGCCGTGAGCACTCCGAGCCACGGGGCCGTGAGCACTCCGAGCCACCGTGGTCGTGAGCACTCCGAGCCACCGTGGTCGTGAGCCCTCTGGGCCAACGTGGTCGTGACACTCCGAGCCAACGTGGTCGTGAGCCCTCCGAGTCATTGTGGTATCACTTTCCGGAACAAAAAACGTCGCCGGCGTGTTAGCGACTTCTTCCTGACACGACCTGACACCGCGGTTAATGCAGGCAACCAGCGCGCCGGAAAAGGGGAGACCCCAGCTAGTTGTTCATAAAGAACAGGAAGTACGAAACAGCGGTGTGGAACATGGAGAACATCATCCAGTGACGCGTTATACTATCTTGTGACATGATTGTGCATGAGTGAGTGGGTGGGTGGGTGGGTGGGTGGGTGGATGGGGAGGGGGAGGGATAGCCGGAGGGCGAGGGCGAGCACCTCATCACCCGGGCAGGGACATCGAGATGACCACCGGCGGCCAGGCCAGCGTTCAGCATATCGAGATGATGATGATGATGATTTGGGCTTTGGGGCGCACCGACTACGTTGGTCATATGGCGTCCATAACCTACTTTTTAGCTAACAGTTGCCTAAAAAAGCGGGGAGATAAGGTTACGTTCGATATATGGCATGGAATTGTGTCTTCAAGATGACTAAAGCATGCCGAGATAACAGCTCATGCCAGTTGTGGAAGCCACTGGGCGAAAGCGCCGATGATACCAGGTGGGCGCAAGCGCGGCGGCGCCCAAAACGCTAACGGCTAACCTTACCCTCCAACCCGTGACGTACTGTGAGGACAACTGTGAAACCGCCACTAAGAAACGCCGTCTCTCCGCACGACCACGCAGACCTGGGATGAGCTGTGCCGTAGCTAAGACTACGTGGACTTGGTATGTGTTGATCCTCACATCTCCTACCAAGTCGAATGATGTCAGTAGAAAAAAAAAACATGAAGGCCAAGTCGAATGAGATACGATGGGGTCGGTTCGAGTCGATTCCGGTCAGAATACATCAGACTGGATTACGTCAGGTCACGTCACGTCATGTCAGGTCACGTTACGTAAGGTCAGTTCACGTAAGTTGGGTCATGTCAGGCCAGCCTTCCGGGAAACGCTTCAGCAGGTGCCTGGACGCTTGTGCCGTCTTTCACTTGCAGCGCCTGCCGTAGCCAGACGCGCAGTCCCAGTTGCCAGCTCTCATCGCCATTGGCACGGATCATCTCCGACCGCCAGCATCAAACCACGTGCTGACGGGAAGGCGTAGGTTTGGCACTATAGCACAAACGGCGCCGCTGCCGCCCGGGCCGTCACAGTCACGGGTCAGCTCGGGTTAGGGGGGGGGGGGGGGAGATCAGGCCTGTTGCACTCAGTCGGCCGTCGCCGCTGGACGTCCGGAGAGGTCACATGCCGTGGTGACTCAGACCGGCGAGGCGGCCGGCGAGACCGACCGGCGCGGTCCCGCGGCGGCGCCCCGTCCGCCGGAAAGCTCTGCCATAGCTCCGGCTGCGGAGCCGGGCTGGTGGGACGGCGCACCTGCGCGTTGGCTGGGGCACCAGCCAGGTCACCGGGTGTGACCTCGGCCGGGGCGCCAGCCGCGGCTCTGACCCAGCTGTCAGCCGGGACGCCGGCCAGATCACGGGGCGTGACCTCAGCCAGGAAGCCAGCCAGGTGACCGGGTGTGACCTCGGCTGGGGCGCCAGCCGCGGCTCTGACCCAGCTGTCGGCCGGGACGCCGGCCAGGTCACCGGGCGTGATCCAGGCCGGGACGCCGGCCAGGTCACCGGGCGTGATCCAGGCCGGAACGCCGGCCGGGTCACCGAGCTTGACCCAGGCCGGGGCACCAGCCGCGACTCTGACCCAGCTGTCAGCCGGGACGCCGGTCAGGTCACCGCCCAGGACAGCAGACAGGATGCCAGCCAAGGCACCTCCGGCAGCGCTGGCCGATAAACCAGCCGTGACGTCACGCCACAGGCACAGTTGGCTACGGTAGCTGCTACAGAACCCCGGTCGTCGGCGTCGTTGTCCAGACCACGAGCTGATTTTTCATGGCCTCAATTTCCTTCAGAACAGCGCGCCCCAAGTGAAGCCGTAAACATGCGAACAGGTTTACGACACGCTGCAAAGATATCCAACAGTAAAGGGCACAATGCTTCCTTAATTATCAAAGTAGCTGCATTGCGGGTCCCCTGTTGCAAGCCACACAAATGCAGGCACTGGGCCTGCTCCAGCACGCTGACTGATGCGGCGAGCGGTCTTGCCTTACAGTTAGCTGAATCCGGTGATGAGCCCTCTACAGCTTCAAGCTCTACAGCACCATTGTGTAATGAATGGTGGGGGAGCATGAGTCAGACGATTTCAAACAGCCGTGGACGTGCAGTGTCTGCCTCAACATGTGCCCGCAATGCCCACAAATCCCAGCCGAAGTGGAACGGCCATGGGAAATGGACACGGGCCTTCTCCTGGACGGCAATCCGTCCACTGAGGCGATACAGGTCAGGGGAAGCATCTCCCAGCTCCCCATCCCTCCTTTGCACGAGGACGCGCCAGGAGAGGTGTCGGCCGGCGGCGGGGACCGCTGCCCTGACCTGAATTAGCATGATCACCAACCGCAGACAAGAAGCGACCGCAACACCGCCATTCGGGTATCAAATCTTCAAAACCATGAAGCATAGGGCACGGACCACCGCAACTATTTGTATCATAGTGCAGAAATAGTGCCCCCCGTACCCGTTACGAGAGCGGACACAAGTCTCAAAGGGTGAACTGCCACCTAACGCTGCGTCAAATGGGGGAGATCGTAACACAAGCTGACTATCATGAGTATGACTTATGGAAACAGCAGTAGTGGCGTCAGTTGAGATATCAGAGGGTTCATACATTCATAAAACAGCTTATTTACGTCTCTATTGACCCAAGAGAAATGTCTGATAGTGTATGCATCGTGCAAAAAAGTGTTATAAAGACGAAAATACATCATCTCACCAGTTGCAGCGGTTAGCAACTCCAGCAATGAAATCATTTCACGGAATAGTGCTGGATGAAATCCGCAGGACCACTGTCCGGAATAAAACCGAACTTTGGATGCAGATATCGAGACACTGGATGCCAATGGCAGAAAACGGAATTCGCGGCGTGAATCAAACGTCACTGATCCTAAGCATATCAATGTTTACCTTTTTGGTGGCGACACACCCGGGTGCACCACTTTCTTTACTTTCGGGTGAAGGGAGGAGGTGCGGGTTGACCCCCTCCAATGGCGACTTGAGCCTCCCTTACAATACTCCTCTGCGCCCCCCCCCCCCCCCCGGGCATATGAGGAAAAGCAGAACACTGGACCAAAGGAATGCAGGAAAGATAACTTGATTTAAATACTGGTACTGAACTATTTGTGTACTTCGTACCTAGACATGCCACTATAACACCATACTTATTTTGTACCAAGAAGTATTCTCCCTGCCTAATAAGGCCCAGAAGTAAATACCTAGTAGCAGTACCTATCATTTTTGTCATGTCAACTCACTCAAATGGTTAGACAGTCCGCTAACATTTGACATAATCTGCACATGAAACACCTGTATTGGGATAAAGAACTAATGGCCGCAAAATGTGGCAGCTTTTAAATGTAAAGGGTGGCTCACATAGCAGCTACCGGCGCTTCTCTCAACAGTGGCAAGTGTTTTTGCCGCAAAATCGCGACTGAGGTGGCATTCGACTTTCAGTGGATTTGACCAATGCACGATCAGTGATTCCACATCCGTCAAACCTTGACGATAAAAGGTGCCAGAGGTGGGCCCCTTTGCGGTCCACGATGCGGAACGGCCGAGTCCGCTGCAGGCAGTCGATTTTCCGGTTCACTGTCCACGGTGATGCGCCCATTTTGGAATCAACAAAACGTATGGGGCTTTTTTAACATCGAGGATTTAAATCTAAGTGGCCTAAATCCAGGAACACAGGGAAAGTCAGGTTTTATGGATGAGTTAAATCAACCTTATCAGCTCAACCACCGCCTCCCCCCCCCCCCCCCCTCAACCGAATCTAGAATGTGACACCCCTGAGCATAGGGCGCAGCGCACACACCGTTCGTAACAAAGTATTCATAGTCCTTTACCAGATATGGTCGGCTGTTGCCGACCCGGAGCGGATGCGATAGCTTGACGGCTTCACTGTCACTGTTGCCGCGAAACGCGGTGGCTCCCTACATCCTCAATGTCCTGATAAGCTCCGCACACTCCCGAGAAGCCTGAAGACTCCCAGAGTCGATAACAGCCTGCACACTGAGGTTGGACGTCAGGACCAAGGGTTGTTAACCACCCTATGTTTTGTCATAGTACGTTTTGGTAACACTAACAGGCTTCCACATATCCCTTTCAAGCGAAAGGTCGGCAAGACGGGCGTCGGGCGCCGCGTGGCTCGCTCCCCCTCCCCCCCCCTCCTTCACATTCGTCCCTGTTCCTTGGTTCTGGTTCTGGTTCTGCCTCTGGCTCTCCCTCCCTCTCCCTGCCTATCTCTCGCAGTGGGGCTTACCCGGCGGTGAGGCTGAAGCTGCGTGTGGTGGAGACGATGGAGAACTCGTTCTGGTACTCGTCCGTCACGCCGACCGGCAGGCTGACCTTCATGCCGGCCAGCGGCAGCGTGTAGTCCAGACCGAGCGGGCCGGCGGCGGCCGACGCCGAGCCCGTGTACCGGGTCAGCAGCAGACTGTCCGTCAGCTGGAATACACAGTGTGCGGGGTCAGCAGCAGACTGTCTCTCAGCTGGAATACACAGTGCACGTAGTCAGCAGCGGACTGTCCGTCAGCTGGAATACACAGTGTACGGGGTCAGCAGCAGATTGTCTCTCAGCTGGAATACACAGTGCACGGGGTCAGCAGCACACTGTCCGGCAGCTGGAACACACGGTGCACCGGGTCATCAGCAGACTGTCTCTCAGCTGGAATACACAGTGTACGGGGTCAGCAGCCGACTGTCCGTCAGCTGGAATACACAGTGTACAGGGTAAGCAGCAGTCTGATTAAACACGCTGGCCTAAGCGTCCCTGGAAGCGGTGCCCCGCTGCACGGCTGGCACCGTCCGGAGGGCGAGCGGCGCCGTACCAGGATGACGAAGCGCGGCTGCGGGCCCTTCCGGCACAGCTTGAGAAGCTCGCCCTCGCGCAGGAAACTGCGACCCGGCTTGATGACGTCAGAGCTGCGCAGACGCTCCTGGATCTGCAGCATCTTCTTGAAGTTGTCCTGCGGACCAAGACGCATGCAGTCAGCGCGGAGGCAGCTGGACGCCGTCAAAACACGGCGTGAGGGCAGGAGAACGAGACCTAGGGCCAACCAAAACGGCTGGGCGCGCGGCTGGAACGCAGCGGGCGATCAGACGATCGTCCTGCTGTTGTTGTTTTGGTCTAGGTTGTGGATACTTTGGGCACATCATTCAATTACACTGAAGACGGTACGGCCAGGTATTCGAAGACAACCGGGCCGTATCATCAACAGTCAACCAAATTTGCACTGTTTGTCTCGTGCGCACTTTTGCACCGGCTGTCGATTATCCAGTTTGCGTGTAGCTATCCACCGCCACCTGATTCGCCGCATAAAACAGCCCGCGTCAGCACGGCAGCTCGCCGCCTGGCTGACTTTGGGACTCGGTCGCCGGAGCACCGCTGCCGGTCCGGAGACAGCTGGCTCATGCTGGCTGGCGAATGGGTGGCCGCCAGCGCGTCACAGGCTTTGCCGGACGTTTGAGCCCACCATGCACCGGGCCCTTTCTTCCTGCTGATGTACGCAGACTGCATGCAATGTTTAGTGCTGCTGCGATGTACTGGGTTCGGGTGGAGGAAGTTTGGCAGCGAAAGATCGCGTCGTTGCCTGTAACTGTTGCGGCGGAAAGCGGCAGTTTTTCTTTTGCGCAACATCATCGTTGATCCACCAGCTTTTCCTGTCCGCGCTACATCCACAAGCATAGCTTTTCAGACCTGGTCTATAAATACAACAATTAAACTACCTTTTAAACCCGAGTGTTATGCTACTACCGGGTATTTCTATGATGAATTGCTCCAACAAAATGATAATTCAAAACATCACGCACCAAGAAGATCCGTCTAAAGCTTTCCAGACCCTGACGATAGCTATCAAAATATGCGTCATCATTTGACCCATGAAATGTTTATGTACCGTCACTCAAAAACGAATGAATACAGTCTGCTCGGCGGCGCCCACAACTTCCCCTCCCAAAAAGAGTTCAGGGGCACAATCTGAAGACGGAGGATCTCTATGTCTACTTCGGTTTCGATTATGTGTTGTTTAACCATTCCTTTTACAGCGAGGATGGTGAATACCTGTAACGAGCCTCTACAGTCTAAGATCCAACAGTGATTACTCGTGTGGTATGCGCAACACAATCACATACTGAAAACTACCGCCTCTATTGTCTAGTGACAGAATATCGGGCTGGCCCTTCAGTGGCACTGAGCAGAGTGGGCCCATTCTTCGGACCGACTGGCATGGAAATGTTAGCTGGCAACTGGCAAAGGAGGGTCAACGCCGGCCCGGAGTCACTGCGCATCACGTAAAAACTTCGCACAGTCCTGCCTGGCGAAAGGGCGCGGGCAAAATTATCCGTTGAACTGGACGAGACAGCTTGGGTGGTGGATTCCAGGGACGCGCAACAGGCTATGCCTAAGAAATGTCCTAAACGTAAACAAGCCCGTACAGACCATTAGGAATATGTTGTTTATAACCATCCACTCTTGAGGATATGAAACAATGACTGATCGCACGGTAGAAATAGAAGCAGTGCATCATTAATAGTGTGGGCGGCGCCAAGCACTCGTGACACCGACTCCGAAGCCCGGCCTGGCACGTGACGCCAGGACCGAGGTCTGCGCCCAGGCACGACCGCAGCCGAAGCCGGGGCTGGCGCGTGACGTCAGGACAGAGGTCCGCGCCCGGGTACGGGAGCTGCCGACTATTTCTGGAGAGCAGGGCGAGCCTGGCGCCAAGGAGGTGCCTTTTAAACACGACGGACACCGCGGAGGCCTGAAAAACAAGCACACCGGACCACGACTGCCGTCTAGATCAGCAGTGTGCCGCCGTTTTTAAAACGGTCAGGTTGCCAAAAAACTGACAACGCACCAGGGATGGGGACAAAGCCAGGCTTCTCGGTACGTCCGAAGCTGAAGCCAGTCTATCTGAACCTTGCAAACGCGAAGCCGAAGCTTCGGTCAGCAGTTTCGAACTCGGAAAGCGCGAAGTCAAAGCCGACCTCATGAGTTTAAAACCACGGGGCCGAAGCCGAAGCCGGAGCAGAACCCAGTGAATGCTGTTTTGCGAAACCAACACCATTTTCGCGTCTGTTAAAGCTGTATGGGATCAGAAACTATTTTCGGACGTTTGCGGGGTGATCAAGAAGAAGTGGTAGCACTACGGATGCGATGTTTTCGACTACTGTCGTACCTTTTGTGTTAGCAAATACACAACGCTTCGCACATTTCCTTGACGCCCCTCGTCAAGTTTCATTACTCCTAAGAGCAATCGGCTGGTTCATGGCTTTCAGCCAGGCATACGTCACGACCTCAAAAAGTTGTGTAGTATATCGACGTCGCCGCCGAAACCAGCTTTTAAACATGACATTAAGTTGAAGCCGAAACTGAGGACAACCGTTTAGCACTGCACGAAGTCAAAACTGAAGTCGAAGCCAGCCGCGGAGGGTGGCTCAGCGCCGAAGTCCAATCCAAAGCCGCTAGAGGAAAATGCGGCTTCGCGAAGTCTAAGCCAAACGCAAAGCCAGCTGCGTCGCCATGTCTGCACCACAGTGGCCACAGCATCACCAACTTGCAGGGATATAACGCTCACGGCGTGAGACCCGATATTGCTGAGACCGGCGCGCGACATCGCCATTTCTGAACAAGCCCGGCCCGACCACAGTACCACTGTTGAGTGGTTCATGATGGCCAGCATTGTTCGGATCCCTCGGATCCTGACTCGTAGCGCTGCCGGCCGCCGAGCGGAACCTCGGCGGACCGCGGCGTCCACAGCCTGTCGCCAGCTGCACCGCCTGAGACGGATCAGGCGCCGGTTACGAAAAACGCCGCGTCTCGCGCCGGCTGTCAGTCGGTCAGCTGGTGCTGACTCAGCGACGGCCGTCTTCCGGTGGTTCGTCCGGCAGGCGGAGCGGGGCCCGGCCGGCCGCGTCTCGCGCGCACTCGGGTTACGTCCGGCGCCGCTCGTGCCTGCCGCCGCCGACAAGCCCGGACAGCGGACAGCCCGGCGGCCCGAGGCATCTCACGCGATGGTCCCCCTCCCCCCTCCCTTCGCTCCCTGAGATGAGGGCAGCGAGAAGGGCGTCATTTGAGCTGAGCGGCCAGGGGTCTTTGTTGCCGGCAGCGGGCATTCCCGCGCCGACAATTTGTGGAAGGTGGTCAATCATGTGCGTTTGGAAACTTAAACAGCCATCCGAATGGAGCGCGAAAGGAACTCATCGTCATGAAACGCCACGTGGCTATTGCTCAAAATTGGCCTCCATGCCGCCAAGCACTCTTCAGATCCACAGCACGCGAGGGAGGCGCATACAATCGTCAATACAGCCGTCGTAATGGGCCTATAAGTACCGCCTTCCTGCACAACAACCCTTCAAATTACGGCTGCGTTGCGAGCGCAGGCTCCAGCAATGGGCCCGCTCCCGGTAACCGGACCTATGCTGCGGCCGGGGGAGACGTCGTTGTCTCGACGCCGGACGCTAACTCATCGCAAGGCTCTCCACACAGCGAAGACCACGCACCACATCCGCACCCGGCGCGGGCGACCGCCGGTCGGCCGCGCGGACAGCACGTGACGCCGCGGCCGGGCGCCAGGCTGGGGCTGGGGCTCGGTGCGGACCGGGCGGCGGCCGCTGCCGAGCCAGAGAGCGGCCGGCTCACGCGCGCCCGCAGCTCACAGCGCGGGGTGCCGGCTTCTCGAGCCACGTGCTACGGTCACGCGCAGGGACTGGGTCGGGGCGGGCCCGCACACCGCGCGACCCGGCGCGTGTGGGGCGCGAGACACGTGCCGTGCATCAGCACAGCTTCCGGACCCGCGCGGTCGCTGTCGGATGGGAAACCACGCGCCTCTCCAGTCACGTGACACGCCGCACGCAAAGGACACGCTCCCGACAGCTGCTGATAGCGCACACGGCGCTTGACATCCTGAAGTATCAACGCCACGAACCGCGATTACTGCGAGTGCAGCTAGGGCGGGGTAAAGTGCGGGACACTATCTGAGGCCATGACATCTCGCCGCACAGTCACCTGCTGAAGTTGTGTGTTCATAGAAGCAAAGCCACCGCAGACAGCCGAGAGAGCAAGGAGAACCGTATCATCATTGGGCACGGATCAACGATAGGTGATAACTAGACAGGGGTGGGAGAGCAGGCGGCGAGCTGGAAGGGCGGTCAGAGCTGCGTTTCAGAGGTCGTCTTAAGAGCCGCTTCGAGCTTCACGCCGAGCTCACCCCCATCAAGCAAGCGTTCGCAAATTTCGCCCCCTTGCCGATCGCTTTATCAGTCGTTACAGCGCAGCTGCCGTGCCTTCCAGAAACGGACGCCCCAATGCAGCATCCCGGTCTTACTCGACTCTGTCGACGCCTACGACCGGGTATAGAGAGAGGACCTGCTGGCGAAGAGCAGGCGTCACATGCCCCGGTTGGGTTACGCGGCGCTCAACAGTCGTGCCGCATGACCGGATGGTCCGCGTCCGCTGGGGAAGCGTTCCCTCACACCGATCGGTATATCAGCGGGCGTACATCAGGGAAGCCCGCTGGCACCACTTCTGCGCGTCATCCACCGCAACGACTAGACGTCCGGCTCGAGGAACCGCCACCAGGTCGTTGTACACAGATGACGCTGCCGTTCGCGGCATTGGGTATATCCGGCTCAGTACATCGGGAACATCCAACCCATACTCAATGTCTTCAGACACTGCCGGCCAAGTCGTGCTTATGTCCACCTTTAACCCGGACCAGGCAGTGAAATAGCAATGTCGTACCAGCAGTCACCGTGAAGAGCATACCAAACATGTGCGTGTCTTTAACGAGAGAGGTCACCAGAAACGCATCGGCGACGCTTGGAGGCGTGGGGGTGCACAACGGCGCCTCATGACCCGGATAGGGTTCAGCCAGGCCTTTAGCATTGCAAGAGACCGGCTCTAGGGCACCTCTCTACTTTCGAGCATGTGCTGTCGGGGCCGGCCAGGGGAGTCAACAAGAGCCAGGTGGCCAGGAGTCTATCACCTCGTTATCGGACCAGTGGGGTGGTCAGAACCCCCAGCCGAACCCCTCTCACCAGCACCACCACACGCCATCGCGGACGCGTCGGCGTCAGGTGAAGAGATACCGAGAAACATCTCATTGTCCATCACACCAGAGCTTCTGCGAACAGCCCGCTGTAGGACATGACGTGGAACCTTTGGCCTACTTCATCAGTATGACCTACATAGACGTGGAACCCAACAATTGCATGACTGTTAAGTACTGAACATATGTTCAGTGCCAAATACTTCGTGCTTATGCTCTGACAAGCATACAACACCCATGCCAGAAACGCCACCCTCAGCTACAAAGCGTCCGTCCGTCAGCTCGTCAGCGTCAGCGTTCATCACCTCATTGCCTCTGCTCGTGCGCTCAAAACCCAAACAGACCCCGGGTCCCAAACCAAGAGCAGCGGTTCTGTCCGGCCCCGTCAGCAGCGGGGAGCGAACCTGCGGCCGTTCACTCACCCCTTCTCGCATGCTCTTGTTGGCGTGGTCAGCCACCTCGCAGACAACCTCCAGCGCAGCGCGCGTGTTGTCGTAGTCGACGGCGCCCACCTCCAGCCGCCGCAGATAGTCCTCCAGCAGCAGGCGGTACTGCGGCAGCCGCTGCACGGGCTTCAGCATGTAGTGCGCCACCGAGAGGCGGCGGCAGCGCGAGCTGGCCTCGAACGCCGCCACGGCCGCGTCGAAGCCCGGGTAGCGCTGCCGGCAGTCGGTCAGCATGTGGCACTGCGCCTGAAAGTCGCGGATGTAGGCCGAGTACAGCTTGAGGAACGGCCCCTTGCGCACGATCACGTCGGCCACGGCCGGGTGCGCGGCCCAGTTGTCCAGCCGCGAGCGCAGGTCGCGCAGTAGCTCCTCGTTGAGCCGCTGCAGCTCGGGCAGGTGGCAGAGGATGGCGGCCAGCTCGGCCGGCGGCACGCCCGGCGACTTGGCGTCCGCCGCCACCGCCTCGGCCGCCGCTCGGAAGTCCTCGTTCAGCAGTCGGAGCACGTCGACGAACGTCTCCTCCGACGAGAGCAGCTCGCGCGCCACCAGGTACGACTTGCTCGCGTCGGGCGACGGCGGCGGCTGGTCGCACGCCGTGTGCAGCGTTTCCGTGTCCGAGTCGCTGTCGGACAGCTCGGGCGCCGTCTCGAGCGCCTCGCTCGCCGGCTCCGGCTCCTGTTCCGGTTCCTGCGACGGCGATGGCACCAGCTGCGGCTCCGGCTCCGGTTCCGGTTCTGGGCCGTCATCAGTCGACGGGGCATGCTCCGCCGACAGCTGCTTGCAAAGCGTGGCCAAGTTGGAGCTGAACTCCTCGATGACACGGGCGTACTGCAGACGACCCTCGCTCGACACAGGGGGAGCGGCCGCCAGACGGCGGTCGGGCGTGCTGGCCGAACCACCCATCACCGCCTCCGAGGAGACAGAGCCCGGCGAGGGGTCGCTGCGCCGCCGCTCGACGCCGCTGCTGTCCGAGTCGGCGTCCGACCGGTCCAACTCCACGTAGAACTGGCTGTGCGGCCGGCGCTCCTTGCGCGGCGCCGGCTTCTTCTTCAGGCCCTTGCCGAACGAGGTGAACAAGTGGCCGAGGCGCGCGCGGCGGCCGGGCGCGTCCACCGCCTCCGCCGGGATGCCGTAGATGCGCTCGGCGTCGGCGTCCGACGACTCTGTGCACCGCTCGCCGCCGCCGCTGGCGCCACACTGCTGCGCCTGACCGGACGCGAGGCACCGCCGCTCGGCCGACGCCGGTGATATCACTTGCTCGAGCGTGCTTTTTATGCTCTCCAGGCGCGCGGACACGCTGGGTCCGGCCTCTGCGGGTGCGAGCACCGGACTGGCGTCCACGTCGTCGCCGCTGTTGCGCTGCGGGCAGCCGCTCGACGGATCTGAGTCACTGCCACATCGTGGGATAAAGTCCTCGGCGGCGCCAGGCGCGGCGGCGGCGGCCGGCGGGTCGCTTCCGCGCCGCGCCTGCGGCTGCTGCAGCTCCGACAGACACGAGCCGATCTGGCGGAAGAGGCTCTCCACAGCGTCCAGCTCGCGCAGCAGGCCCGGGTCGGGCGGCCGGCTGTCCGACGAGTCGGAGCTGCTCGGCGGGTCGGCCGCTGAGCGCGCCTGCGGGGCCGGCCCGGAGGCTGGCGGCGCGCCTGCGCCCGTCAGTCCGGGCTCGGTCGCCGCCGGCGCCGGGCGCGCGGTCCGCTCCCCGCCGTCACCGCCGCCGCCGCCTCCTCCTCCGCCGCCGCCGGTCGCCTCGTCATCGCTACCGTCCTCGTGTCGGATGAGCTTGACGCGGCCCTCACGGATGTAGATGCGGTCCACCTCAAGCTCCGTGACCTTGATGCGGCCGGCGGTCAGGTCGATGATATTGGCGGAGGCGGCGTCCATCTCCGTCGTTGACACGCGCTGGATGAAGTGCGGCACGAGCACGTGGCGGGGTGCGGCCGCCACCTGGCCGGCGGCGGCCACTTGCTGCTGCTGCTGCTCCTGCTGCACCGCCGACTGCGGCTGCTGGTGGCGGGCGCGCGGCGTCGGCGGCGACGCGGCCGTCTTCTCGGGCGGCGGGCGCGACTCGCTCGCCATCGAGAAAAACTCGTCGTCGGTGCTTTCACAGCCCGGGTCGCGGCCCGACGTCAGCGTCGTCTGGCTGGCGTCCAGCGTGCCGTCGCTGCCCTCGGAGCGCAACGTGATTTCGGACGGCGCGTCCGTTGCCTGCGACGAGAGGTTCGGCTCGCTGCCCGCCTCCCACAGTTCGCCCGGCGCCGGCGGCGGCGAGGCGGCGCGCGGCGGCGGCAGCGGCGGCGGCGGCGACTCGGTCGAGCCGGCCAGCGCCGGGTCGGAGCGCCCCGTCGGCTTCTTGCGCGGCGGCGGCGGCGGCGGTGGCAGCGGCCGGTTCTTCATGTCAACGGCGTCCTCCTGCGAGCGCTGCTTCGCCAGATGATAGAGTGTGGGCCGCGCGCCGCGACCTGACTTGTAGCCGCGCGGTACCGTGCTGCTGCGGATCTTGCTGCGCTTGACGGTGCGCGGCGGCGGCGCGACGGGCTCGGCCTCCTCGGCCGGCTCGACCGGCGCCGTGCAGTGGCGCCTCTTGGGCCAGGTGGTGTTCCCGTTGAGCTCGGCTCGGCCCGGCGAGAGGCTGGCCGGGCGGCGGCGCGGCGGCGGCACGACCGGCGACGGCGGCCGCAGTTCACTCAGCTTCTTAGGCACCGGCGGCGGGTAGTCGTACTCCGCCTCCTCCTGCTGCTGCAGCACCGACGAGCGCTTCCGCACGTGCGCGTACTCGGGCTTGGCCGGAGTCTGTCTGCGCAGCTCCACCTCCGGCCGGTTCTCCTTGTTGTGCTCGGCGCCCTTCGCCGCGTCCTCGTCCTCCTGCTGACCCTTGCCGTCGTCGTGGACGATGAGCATGAGCTCGTCGCCGCTGCCCAGCTCCTCCTGCTGGAACGAGTGCAGCGAGCGCGGCCCCTCGCTCGTCACGCTGCCGCGCGCGCACAGCGTCACCTCCAGCTGGTCGGGGCCCTCGCCAATGCTGTCGAACGTGTCGTTGTGGCCGGCCGGCGGCGCGTCGCCGGCGGCGCGGCTGGAGCGGCGCGGCCGCGTCGGCGGCTGCTCCTCGCAGGTCTCCACCTGCACGGCGCCCTCGCGCTCCGGCTCGCCGCCGCGAATGTCCACCACCAGCTTGGACGTGACCGTGCTGTGCTCGGGCAGCGGCGGGCGGCGCGGCACGCGCGTCGGCCGGTACGGGCCGCCGTCGCCGTCGTCCAGCAGACGGCGGTAGCTCCGCCCGTCGCCGTAGTCGGCGCTCTCCTCAGTGGCGGACTCGTCGGCGTAGCGCACGTCGCGCACGTCGAGCAGCGAGACGGCGCCGCGGCTGCGGCTGCGGCTGCGCGGCGGCCGGCGCGGCGCCGGCGGCGGCGGGCGCGGCGGCGGCGCGCGCGCGGTCACGAGCTCGGCCGGGCCGGGCCGCGACGCGCGCTTGGAGCGGGCCGGCCGCGAGGCGGTGCCAAAGATGGCGATGGTGCGGCTGTCAGCCTGGTCGGCCGACTGAGAGCGCGGCCCGCCCTCCTCGCTGCGCTTCTTCTTGCGCGGCGGCTTGGCCGTGAGAGCGCGTCGGCTTTCCCAGTACTCGCGGATCTTGGCCTGGTAGGGCTCGCGCGGCGGCGGCGGCGGCCCCTCCTCCTGCGGCGGCTGCCGCTTCGTCGGCTGCGGCTCCACCGGCGACGGCACGTTGTCGATGGCCTCCAGCGGACGGCGGACGCGCTCGAGCGTCTCGGGCGCCGGCGGCGGCGGGCGCGGCGGCCGGCAGTCGGTCGTAAGTGTGATGGCCGGCGGCGGCGGCTCGCTCGACACGACAGGCGGCGGCGGCGGCGGTGATGTCACGCTCGAGTTGGCCTCCGGTGGCGCCGGGTTGTTCGCTGCAGCAAGCGGCGGCCCAGGATTGTTTGAGACAGCTGCCGGCGTCAGTGGCTTCTTGGCGATCACCTTCGGCGGCGGCGGAGGCTCGCTTGCGGTCGGCTGCGGGGACGGCGGCGTCGCCGGCTCGCTGGAGTCGCGTCCCGCGGGGCGGGGTCTGAGCACGCGCGGCGGCTCGTCTAGCTGCTGGATCTCGATCGGCGGCAGGGCCACCACGTCCGGGGTCGGCTGCACGAACTTGCTGACCAGGTTCAGGCCCGACACGTCATCCTTAAGCTGCACCCGCACGCGCTGCAGGCCTTGGTAGCTGCCCAGGTCCTCGTCCTTGCTGGAGGAGGTCGACAGCGGCTTGAAACGTACGCCCACACTGTCACTGTCGCTCGAGACCCGCTTCTTGCCGAAGCGGACCGACTTGGGGAAATCCTCAGTGCGCGAGGCGCGCGAGCTCGGCCGGCTGTTGCGGCCGCTGTCGCTGTCCTTGAGGCACGGCTCGGGGGTCACGCTGAGAGGCTCAGGCTCCGCCGGCGGCTCCTCTGCGCGCGCCGCCGCCCGGCCCGGCTCCGGCTGCCGCTTGCTGAAGCGCGAAAAGCGCGCGAACTCGTCGTCGTGCGCGTCGGTCGAGTCGTCGGCCGCGCGCGGCGGCTCGTCCGGATCGGCGGGCTCGCCGACCGGGTCGTAGATGTGCTCTTCGGGTTCGCGGCTGGCGGTGCCAAACGCGAACACCACCTCGTCCTCGTTGTTGCTGCTGCCGTTGTGCGGCGAGAGCGAGCGCGGCCGCGGGCTGTCCGATCGCGAGCGCGCGGCGCGCGGGCTGCGCGACCTCAGCTTCTCGCGCAGGAAACGGTACGGCTTGGGCACGTCGCGCCGGCACGTCTTGGCGAAGCGCACCACCGGCTTGCCGACGGCGCTGCGGCTGGCCACGCGGCCGAACTGGCGCACCGGCTGCAGGAACGAGTCGGCGCGGCGCACGCCGTCGCGCCGGCTCTGGCGCGGACTCGCCTCGGCGGCCTCTGCCGACTCAGCAGCGGCCTCGACCGGCTGGCTCGGCGGGCTCGGCGAGGTCGGCTCGCTCTGCGGCCGGCGCTCGTCCCTCAGCGAGAAGCGCTGGCGCAGGCGGTCGCGCGACTTGCGCAGCGAGTCGGTCCAGCGCTCGGCGCGGCTCGGCTCGCGCACCAGCTCCTGGCTGATGCTGCGCGCCGCCGAGAAACCGGGCGTCGAGGCGCGCTCGACGGCGGCGCCACTGCAACACACGGACACGCGCACCGTTAGCGGGGCAGGCTGGCGCGGCGGCGACAGGCCTGCTGACGGGTGATGTGAGCCGACCACGTCTGCGGGCACGCAGCATTGTACGCTGTTGATATGTATGACCGGATGGTTAGCCAACTGTGAGCTGACATTTCCTGTCATGTAAACGGATCTCGTGGTCACGCGAATTGAGCCATTTACGGTAACTGCCAGCTAGCGGCGTAGCAAAGAATTCACTCAAGAGGGGGCCAAATTAGATCATGGGGAACGTTTTCATTCGAAGGGATCGCTTCGTCGTCCAGGGTCCTGGCTTTGGCTGCGAGTAATCCTTTTGGGCTTAGGATTCCCTTCTGATGGATCGGAGACCCGTTATTTTGTTGTCGTTTTAGAAGTTATTCGCGCGTCTTTAACTGCCAAGAAGTACTGAGATCCACGGCCCCAGGTTCACCTCCCCCACCTCCAAGACCATGGCTTCAGAGCCCCCTTGGCTACGCCACTGCTGCCAGTCGGCCACCGCCCACCTAATTTACAAATCCCACCCATGACATATCAGTGCTGGTGCGTCATCAGCGCGCAAATAATTGCCAAGGTCGTTCAGGATGCGATTCGTGCTATCACCAACGCCGGCTCGGGGTCGTGCCCTCCACCTGTCCAGGTGAATGCCCGTTCTCCTCCCACCCCCACATTGTAGAAGCGCCCGCAGCTGGTTGGTCACAACACCACCTTCAGACCGCGGTCGGACGCGGGGACGAGTCCAGACCAGCAAACAAGTCGAACCCTTTCTCCGTTCGCCAAGGCCAAGTAGCCCGCATCCCGCAGTGGCGGCGGCGCACGACCGGCGCCGGAGACGTCCATGGCCGGCCGGCTCCCGTCCACCCCCGTCCGACAGAGTGCCTGCCGACCGTGGGTGGCGGGTCCGGTGCACCGGTGCCTCCTGAGCCCCCAGGCCGACCCTCATCGTCTCTGCTCTGCCTCCGCACTCGTGGCCAGGATTGCGGACAGCCAGGAAGAGCGACGCTTCGTCCGGTCACACAAGAGCGCCGATGTGCCGTTGCCCATTTCAGTCACGTCGGCGTCGCTAAGACGTGGAGCACCCTTGACCCCCACTGCCGAGCAGCGCCGGCCCTCCGCACGGTCTGGCCATGAGTACGGCGGCGCGTCCGATGACAGGGCTGAGTGTAACCTTGACCGTGACTCGGCGAGACACCACGACCGGCCTGGATCTCGCCGCGAGTGAGAGGAACGCTGCTTCGTTGGTTTTAACACACGCCAGTGGAGTTGAGAGCGTGAGTGCGTGGCCACGACTGGCGCCGTTCAACATTCAAGGCAGTGGTGCGTTTTGACTGGTTAGAAAAGTTCCTAGCAGCAAAGGGAGGGGGACGAGGACTTACGACTTCCTAAGTCCGCTATAAATCTTTAAGTGAGGAAGCCTCGAATCCTTTTCCTCGAACAACAACCATGAACTGGTCGTTGTCGTTTATTAGTGTTTCAGGGCGCGTCGACTACAATGGTCTTTATGCGCTCAAAGCGTCAACGACAGTAGAACGGCACAGTAGAACGGCACATTAGAACGGCCCGCATCAAACAGCTTGAAAGCAGTTTTCCTCAATCGCATTCATTCGTCAAAAAAAAGATCTACTAATGTTCGTGAATATGGTAAGTTACTGCGCTCGCAGGGACAGCGATGATCAGCAGAGCCGCATCTAACCCGACTTACACCTTCTCCGACAGCTCGGGTCAGGCAACACCGACCCTGTATGACCCGCTGAGGCGTCACACGGCGTGCACGTGGCAGCCGAGACAAGGCCGACGGGTCAGCCACCTCTGTAATCAACATACGGGGCGACGGAACAACGCAGGCCGTTTCGTAACGTCCGGGGCGCTTTGCGGCGCCCCAGAAACCAACGTCGTCTGTCTGCGCGGGAACTGGAGAACTGAATAACAACGCCATCGCCAGCGAGGCGTAGCGCATACTAACACTCACACTGACACTTATTCGCTGAGAGGAACGATATCGTCCGGGAAGCCGATAACCCTATGAGAAAAGGGAACGTCATCACTTGCGCCCCGTCTCACCACGCACCGCGTTTGACAGCAGCCTACCAGTTACGGGTCCAACTCCTCCATAGTCCGAACAAATGGCTGCTGCAGTGCACCAGTCCTCGGTTCCAACCACCAGAATACGGCCGAACACGTGCCGCAATAACACCTGGACCCGGCCCTCCTCACTACAGGTCTGGCTGCGGGTTCTGCGTCCGCGGGCTTATCAAAACTCCCGGTGCAGCCTCGCACAGCGGACGATCACCAGTCGATGACGGGAAGCGCGCCGTTGGCAAACACTGCCGCCCCCGGAGCGTACCGCGGCCGGTGCGCTGGCTCAGCGGTCCAGCGAGGGCGCCGCTGCGGCCGACGCGGCACTGGCTCACACCTGCACGGAGCTCGCAGCACCGCGCACTGAGCACGGCCTTAGCGGCGCGAGGTATCGGCTGGAGACGCGGCCGGCTTGTCTGGGACGGGGCGTGGGCGCACAGCAACGCCGGCCGGTTTGTAAACAACCGTTTTTGCGCACAATGGAACTGCAGACAAGCAGAGGGGCGCCTTGAAAGCGTTGGTGTGTGAGGGGGGAGCAACCCGGCTGCATCTGCCCACGCTGCAGTGAAACATAGAGACGCACACGGAAACGCGTCGCCACGCCAACGCGCACAACACGTGACGATCTCTGGCAACCGGGGTGCCTTGAACACCTGGCCTCGAAATCAGCTGTTTCCAGAAGTCGAGAACTGCTTCCAGAAGGTCGTAACTGTCTGTGTGGTTACCCGCTCACAGTGTAAACCGACAGACAGCAGCGGCAGCCCTCCGAAGACAGACATGTGGCAGAGCCGAGCGGGGCGTCTGGTCTCCCTCCCAGCCACCGGGAGGCGCACCTCCCTTTCCCAACCATGTCCTGAGCGGCCCTGCGCCCGCTCCGTCAGCGGCTCTGCCGGCCGCGGCCGGCGGCCATCGCGCACCGTTACGGCGGGCCTATCGCGAGATAACGGAGCGCGCCGCCGACGACGCGCCGCCAACGGCTGGCCACGCACCACGGCGAGGCGCAACGGTCAGCGCGCCCGCCGACGCCCGATTGGCCGAGACGGCCGATGACGTGGGCGAGGCGCGTGCGGTGGCGCGGCGTCGGGTCAAGTCCCACCGCATTCTCGGAGCAATGCGACTGACATGCATCCAATGTCGACCCCGACCAGAAATCGGTGCAGGTCGGAGTGGCCCGGCCCGCGAGCCTCAGACGGCCGAGCGGAACGGTGACGGGCGGGGATATCACGGCGCCTCAGCCGCGTGCAGCCAGCTCACGGCCAGCTACCTCGGCCGATCCCGGGCCCGCCAGCTCCACTGATGGCGGCTGACCGCCACGTCAGTGCACGGCGACCTTCGCCGCCTCCTCCCCTCCGCGCGATCGGCTCACCTGGGCTCCGGCGGCGGGAGACGGGGCTGGCCGGCGGCCGAGGAGCCCTTTCACCGCGGGCGGGCGACGCGTAACGGCGCCTCGGACCGGCCACCAGTCGACGCCCGACTGTGGACGCAGCGGCACGGCACGGCACGACACGGCACGGCACGGCTCGGCACCGCGGCGCGGCGACTGCCAGGTAAGGCCGCTGGCAGCTGACTCACGGGGCACGTGGCGCAGCGGCCGCCTGCGCGTCGCTATCGTCCCAGACCAGTGAGCTCTGACTCACGACAGGTCCCCGAACGGGCCGCGCGCAGCGACACGGACGCTCTGCGGCCGAGGGACCCCTGAACGGCGGGAGGCCGTGCCGGCTCGAGCGGCGGCTCTCGTCACCACTGCGCCGGCCCGTCTGCCGGTAGGGCACCGCCCGCCGCGGCCGGTTCCTCGCCTGGGAACGGCTGGTCTCCGGCCGCCTGTCGCTTTCATTCCATCGAGTGGTCAGTCACGCGGCCGGCCAGCGCGAGCGGCCGGCCGCGCGAGGCATGGCTCCTCGCCATGGCTGCCGGCTCCGGTGATTAGCAGGATGGCGGGGTGGATTGGCAGCCAAGCTCAGTCAGCCAGGCTCATTCAATCTGGTGGAGCTCAGCCGAGGTCAGGTCAGCACGTGGAATGCAGACCGCACCGGAGAAATGATGCGGTATGCAGCTGTTCAGCTTTTCCCAACCGCGTGTTCCTCAACTGCCTAGCTTTGTAACTGTGACGGACGTGCCATCACCGCCGGTCAAGAAAATAGATGGGACGGTAGAGCTGAGCACTATATCTGAAAGGAAAGCCTCCGCCCACAAAATGCATATCATTGACGCGTTTCTAGTCGTTTTATGCAAACGATGCAGGCGACAGCGGGCAGCAGGCTGTAGTGTTCCCATCTCTACCAGCACTCGCATCTGACGAATCACCTCTTAAAATAATCTGACGCATGACTCTCCTATGCATACCCCGAGGCACACGCTCGGTTTCACGCACCGCGGCGGTCGCCGACACGCCGCCTGACCCGGACGGCGCGGCGCCGGCCGGGCCTGCCGCCACCGTCGGTCCGCCGGCCGGGCCTGCCGCCGCCGCCGGTCCGCCGGGCGGGTACACAAGAGTCAGCCGTGAGTCACGACAGCCGTCCGAAGACGCGACGCGGGCCGTCAGCGGCGCCGGGCGGGCCTGCCAGCGCGGTGCCGCCCACTGGCGACCGGCCAGCCGGCCCCGGCGCTCTCCGGGACGGCAGCAGGTGCTCGCGCCACCCAGCTCCGGGCCTGAACAGCGGACTCGGCTTGGCAGACACGACACCTGACCACGGTTCCCCGCCGGCCTGCCATCACATGGCTTCTCGCGATGAACTGCTGCTCGTCCCCTCCAAAACGGAGCACCAGACTAGGTTGTGTAGTCCTAAAGTCTGGGCTGCCCTCGATACAGACTGATTGCACGAAGTTGGTACACCGAGAAACACCGCAGAAAGAGGCAACGTCGAAGACAAGTCACAAACAAGTGACAACACACGGCGGTGAAGTGGCGAAAACCACAGCGTGGGGAAAGCCTCGGAACCATTTCGCGCCCCCGGGCCTTCGCCGGGCCTCTCGGCCGTCGCTTTCCCCGCTCCCACAGCCGGCCGCATGATTCTGCCCACTGGCTGACGGATGGGCCGGTGCGGCCTCCGCCGCGCGCGCCACTCTCGCCGCCGCTGCCGTGCTGACGTCACAGCGGACGACGAACGACGCTGCTCGGCCGGGCGTGACATTTGTACGGTGCGGACACAAACGCCGCGTGACATACGCTCTGTGTCGTCGGTGACGCGTGACGCGACCAACAAGGTCATCTGCTAGCTCACGGCCCTCCCGTGACATGTCAGGCATGACATGCCACTGACGGCGTCCGGCAGGGGCGACAGTGGAGCGCCCCCTCGCGGACGGCGGCGTCCATCGGGCAGGCCGACTGAGCCAGGATGGCGAACGACCAACGGCGATACGCAAAGGAGTTGCTTAGCATGATTTAGCTACGCAAAGCTTTTAATGTAAGGCTGGAACGTATCGAAAACACATACCGATATGCGTACGCTATCGCTAAAACATTTACAAATGTTGAACGCTATTCGGAAAATCAGGCTCATCCAAAACGTTTTTGAGCGGTCCCTCCAGCTGTCTCGAAAACCTGATCTACCTATGCATAAAACGACACTGTAACGCGGCCGGCAGCTGTTCACGGCCGCGCTGGAGAGGAGGAGGGGGGGGGGGGGGGGGGGGGAACGACAGCCCGGGGCGCGGGGGACGAGCGCGCTGGCAGCGGCGACGGCCGCCGCCCGGCTGCTCTTGGCAGTGCGGGACGGCCACCGCGCCAACGCGCCGCCCAAGCCGGCCGCCGCTGCCGCCGCCGCCGCCGGCCGCAGTTAAAAATATGATAAAACAGGGCGCGACACGGTGGCCGGCCGCGAGAGCCGGCCGGCGACTGTCGGCAGGGAAAGAGCCGGTGACCCGGCCGGCGCCCCGACACGGCGGCCGGGCGTCAGGCCCACCCACGCACTGCACTGCGTCACGAGGCATCACCGCCGTTATCTCCGGTTCAGACCGGGCAACCCGGGCACGGGCTTAGTGCAAGCGCAGGGAGAGATATTCATGTGCGAGAGGCTGTTTCGAAAGAGCGAGTGAGCGCAACAAGTTTATCGCCGTCCCACTGGAGTGAACACCATCCCGCTCCGGTGGCCGATAACGGTTGAAGAAACGCGAGCGACCAAGCCAAGCGATTGCGTAATGCTCCGAGCCATCATGCACGACCGCTATGGCGATCCCCGGCGGCTGTTGCACCAGCGCCCCTGACACAGTCGCCTCCCTGCGGCCTTCTGGGCATTTTACCAGCGGGTTCGAGGGGGAGATCGTGAGGCGCAATGTCCTTGTCCTGTCCCAAGTGTTGGCAAGCACGACGCGGCTGAAAGTCGACAGCAGCTGTCCGTACGCTCAAGCGGAGCGCAAATAACTTCCAGACAAACAAAGGCGGGAAGGTAGCTGTCGATATCCTGCGGTCACGTTATTGCCCATTCGTTTATACATTGTCAACAGGCTTCCAAACTTTCCGTGACTCTTTACCTGCTCTAGCGTCCGCATCCAACGATGTCACAACATTCCAGTGGCAGCCGTCTGGGACGCCGCTGCCCGGCCAAAAACACCAGCCTCTCCCAGGCTAGCTCGGCGGCCCGGACTCGGCCGGCCTCGCCACGCCGAGGCACGAGACGACCTCGAGCGCCGCGACACAGATCGGGTGCCCGGATTAGCCGCCGTCCGGCTGGCCGGGCTCGCTTGCGTGCCGCACGGCTGGCGCATCCCGGCCGGGCGGTGGACTTTTGTCGGCCTCCCTCGAGGTCAGCACGACCGACCGGCCGTGGGCGGGACGTGCATGCCGCTGCACGAAGGTCACAGCCAGCCCTGACGCCGGCGTCTTCAAAGCACGACATCACAAACCCTATTGATGGCAACGCTTCTCGTGTACCGCTGCATTTTTAATCCCGCTTGGCGACACCGTCGTAAATTGTGCGTACATGCCCATCCCTCAGACGCAGCTGTCTAGCTAAGATTTTTAAAAAAATAATCAGGCTAGTTCATGCTAACTTGCTCTAAACAGCAAACCGTCCGTTTGCGTCACCTGAAGAAGCCCAGCCTACAGCAAACTGCCCCAACATCGTCACATTACAACGAATATTAAGGCCCTCAGCGGCGATCTATGCTCCACGCTCACTTAAAGACCGGGTCCCCGCCCTCCCTTCATCTCTCAGTAATAAAACACAGCGCGTTCCCCAGTTTGCGGTAGCGCGAGGTGCCGCAGAACCCACCAACGACGACAGTAAAGTCCCGGAGCCAGCGCGAGCGCCACGGTCCAGGTGCCGCCCACCTGAGCGCAGCGGGGCTCGCGGAATCCGACACGGTCCGACGCGCCCGGCACGCGCGCACACGCCACCCGCCTTAAACACGTTCCAGTTGACGCAGTCATGTTAGAGAGGGGGCAGTGGCCGAATGGTACTGAGTGGTGGGAGGAAATGAACGTCTGACCAGGCCAGAGCGTGCAGGCAGTGATGTTTCGAATGTGGTCTGACAGTTTTTAAGTGTTGCGCATGATCGAAGCGCAGGTGCAGATGATTTGCACCCCACCCCTACCCGGGGCGGGGTGGGGTACGGGGCCTTAACGAGCCTCAAAAACAAGCGGCTCGCCCAGATAACGAGCCAGCTTCCGCGTCTCCTCGGCGCACCACGTCATCAGCTGGCTCCTGATCACACCACCAACCGACAGGGCCCGCCTCCCCGCGCGACCTCTCCGTGAGCAGGACCGCTGGTTGGCGGCGTTTGATGTCAGGTCGGCAGGGAGCGCGCCGCCGGCCAGCGGTGAGCCCAGCCCCGACCCTGGGCGACCCAGAGCGAGCCGACCGGTGGCACAGTGGCCCTGGCGCGAGCTCAACAATGCGCCCGGCCGGCGGCGGCGCCACATTCCGGGCTGGGCCTCCAATCTTCTCCGGGAAATACGGCCGCGTCGACGACTGCAGCGCGCGCGGAGGCGCGAAGGAGGCGCGGCACGCGTCGACGGGGATGCACCGAGTCACCAGCCCCGGGGGCCGGGGGTACTGATGATAACGAGCACTCGTAGGCTTCACAAAGATAGCGAGCTCTCCTCGAGCACACCGTGGGTACTGCGGGGACAACCCGGCACCTTCCCTCACAGATCAGATGCTGCGGTCTTCCCCGCAGCGCGCTGCGGGGAAGACCACGGCTGCGGCTGCGACAACGGCTGCTGCGACAACGGCTCACCTCCGTCCTTGATTTCCATCCGTTTCTGATCCAACTTCCGATTTTAATGTGCGGTGCACACCGTCCACCGACGACAGGCATGCGCAGAAGTGAGGTGTAGGCCAACCGTCAGGTGCAGTGGAGTGTAGCGTCACGAGAGCGCGTCATGAGACCGGGATCTCAGCCACGAGAGCGCGTCATGAGACCGGGATCTCAGCCACGAGAGCGCGTCATGAGACCGGGATCTCAGCCACGAGAGCGCGTCATGAGACCGGGATCTCAGCCACGAGAGCGCGTCATGAGACCGGGATCTCAGCCACGAGAGCGCGTCATGAGACCGGGATCTAAGCCACGAGAGCGCGTCATGGGACCTGGATCTCAGCCACCCCACCCGACCACACTGCCCATCGGCACGCCGTCTGGCCGTCCTTGCCAGAGCTCCACGCCTGGATATTCAAGGCAACTGGTGTTTTTCTCGGCAGATCGCCCAATTCCCGGCTACGCTGATTTAAGCGGTACGAAAACAAACGCCTGTACGCCATCATACATCAACGGTCCGTCAGAATGCAAGGTTCTGCAAGAGAACGCATTCAGGGAAACGCGCAGAAGTGCTTCCTGGAAAAAACTATTTTTACGTAAGCTGGCGTAATATGACTCCACTATTTGGGAGACCCACGCACGGCAGTTGCTCTGTTCCTTGTGGTGGCTTCCACTAACTCCGTTGCCGTGTATTGCACTTTGCTTACGACCAAACACGGCTTACAGTCGTCAGCAATGATGTAACAGTTTAGCAGTTACGTATTCAAACGCGCCCCGACTACGATTTCTGGCAACCAACCCCGCGCTCAAGAAAAACCTTCCCTCTTGTAAGCTTAAGCGGCAAGCGAGGATGACAACTCGGGCCAACGCGTTCGTGGCAAGGGTCGCACGCGTCTTACACCGTAACGGCACATGGTGGGGAAGATGGCCCTTTCGACCACAACATAAGGGCACCATCATCAATCTTTCTACGCGAATGCTGCGCACAGGCGTGCACCAGCACAGCGCGAGCGGAAACAAGGCGGCAACACTCACGCGGGGTCATCCGCCTCGTCGACGGCCGGCTCCGAGGACGAGCGCTTGTGTTTGCCCAGCCAGGGGAACTTGACCCGATCTGAAACAGCCGACACATGCTGCTGACACATGGCGGGCGGGGGGGGGGGACGAATGGCGGACGGGGTGTCGCCGATGGGGGACATCCGACACCGCGCATCGGGGCACCGCGAGCCGCCAGCTGATTCGAGCGGCCTCCGTACGTGAATCGCGTTCCGGCCGCGTCAGAGGCGTCCGTGTCGAGGCAGATCTGTTCAGAACATATGGCGTCCTCGAGCGACCGTGGGGAGCCGGGCAGCGACGTCGATAAACGCGCAGGCGGCTGCTTGGAGGCGGCCGGCCGCGCCGACGCCGACCAACGCGTACGCCGGGCAGACTCCACGCTGCACACACACAGGGCCTGGGGCTGGACGCGCTCAGGCCGCTGCCACGGGGCGCGACGTTCCGCCGGGTAGCGGCGACACGGCCGCCGGCGCCACCGCTCGGCCCGGCCCGGGCGCCGCTTACCGCAGGCGGCGGCGGCCATGGCAGCGCACTCTTCTGTGCCGGCTCGCGGGACACGGTGACGGGCACAGCCGGCGGCCGACCGCCCTCGGGCACGTCTGACGTGCGGCCGCCAGCGGCGGCGGCGGCGCGGCCGGCCGCGGGGTCAGAAATAGCGCGAGCCGCCGCCGGTACCGACGTGGCGAGCGGCGCTGGGCCGCCGCGAGCTATGGTCCCAACCCTGCTCTGGTCAGGCTGCGGCGGCAAAATTGTTTTGATTGGGACGGGCAGTGGAGAGACTGAACATGGTTACTGTTGATTTTGTTTCCAACGCGCTGATAAAACAAGTCCTTTCCCCATTGATTACAACATGCAGTGCGCAACAACACGCCTTACGAAGCTACAAACATAGCAAAGCTATAAGCATCCCAAAAGCATTATCTGCAAAGCTTTATCACGACCAAGCCTGTGCTTGCCTGCTATTTCCTGTTATAGCCCCCTATGACTGAGCACAGCTTTTTCCGTAGCATCTGATTTGGAAGACATGATCGGCGTGGGAAGTCAGATCGGCGTGGGATGCCATACGTGGTGCCAGTCCAGTGCAAATCGAGCCTAGATTTCAGCTGTTCAACTAAGGTTAATGATACCCGGGCATGTAGAAGAGCATTCCAGTCATTTAAAACCGGGGTGCTGAACAAGTTTTGACAGATGAGGGTCTCAGCTTCAGGTTTTCTCAGCCCAGTAGTACAGTGAGGGCAGCTGGTGGAGTCACAGTCCCTCAGGATATGGCAGCACCTCACTTTGTGGACAAGATGCTTAGCTTCTTGTCAGACTCATCTCAGCTGCTCCTGATCCAGCTTGCCCAATAGGTCCCACATGATATTTCCTTACTAAAAATGCAAAAGTACAATGGCCCAGTACATCATTGTAAAAATGTTGATGTTGTTAAATGACAGCCTTGTGATCACCAGCTTATGGATGGCATTAGAAATGGTCTTGGTCAACTGCATGTGGAACCTGAGCCTGTAGTCTATGAAGATTCCAAGGTTTTTCCCTGGGCTCCACTGTGATTCTCCCACCATTCAGGAAGTTCAGTCAGATTCAGTCAGAAGTTCAGTTCAGCTCAGTCAGATCAGATGTGATTCAGTCAGTCACAGATCACAGGTGCAGATGTGCACTACTTTCCAATCTGATGCATTGCAAGGGAAGCTGAAACTCATCACAAAAAAGTTGCTATCTGCTGGTTGTTTGACTGGTTTATGTTCTGCTTTTTGATGTCAAGGCAAATCAACAAGCCACATAAATCTGCTCAACTGCCTAAAACTATAACAATGCAAAGTCTGACAATGAATGTACTACAGCAAAGTCAATATATGAAGGGAGCTAATGTCATCAATATTTAGAAATGGAAACATGAATAATGCTTGACTGGTTTACTTATATTGACCATCCTATGCTTCAAGTTTATCTAGATGATTTGAATAACAAGCAGCTGAAGATGACAAGGCACCAGGAGTGTATTGTCACTATTGCTATCAATGAGGAAGAAACCCAGTGTCTACACTGTTAATAGTAATTAAGCCTACATTAACATTAACATCAAACTGTTACTGGCAATTGCTATTTTTTATCATAATAATAAGGTCACAAAGTGGCACAGTGTGATATTTGTACATATTTTTTTGTTGTAGATGTACCATGTTGGACCTTCCTGGATCCTAGAAAGCATACAAGGCAGATGCTATATACACAATTAACACAAAATACTGCATGAAGGAAAATACTTGACATACATGACATGCTAATTTTGCTCCAATTTACAGCAAACTGGGCGAGTGTGGGAAGTGATCTTGACTTTACATTATTTCCATACCACATCATATATAATCACCATAATTGCATGCAGCTGTGATTGCCATAATGTAAGATAAGGTAAGGAAACATTGTAACTTTGAGCAAAAATTCCCAGCACAGAAAGATGGCTGTCCCTCTGAACACATTTTTGTCATTCTTGATTCCTTCCAGTACAGTTTGACCCCCATAACGATACCCATCTCCAAAGCCTGTATAATGATAAATATTCAGGCATGGATGACATCAGTATGAATGTAACACATCTCAACAAAAAGTGCCTCATCGAACAATATAAATATCCTTACCTTATGGCTAGCTGACGTCTTCAATATTTCCTTCAGCCCGTACACAACATGCAGGCAACTCCAACGGCCCCCAAGATTTTGTTTACACCTCACAATGAAGTGTAACATAGTCGTCGCGGTATGCACCTTGAAGTATGTTTTCGCCAAATTAAAAACAACAGCGCCAAAATAGCTCCCATTTTCATCTGTTCGCTAATCGTTGGCGAGGCTACCATCAGTTTACGATAGTGCTATCATTGAAGCATTCTTGCTTCCAATCACTTTTTGGACCTCTTCAAAAGAAACATACTGCATCAAATGTAATGAGAAACTTTGAACGGGGAACTTATCACCCAAAAACACACATATTTGCCGATTGAGAATCATCGAGTGCTTATTCCGAACGAGCAAGTCAACGTCAATTTAGTTCTTCTTCTAAAAGGTATCCCGAAAGAGGCATTGCTGAGCCAGAGTGGGGGGCGGATGTGTGTGGTTGGTGAGCTAGTGTGAGTGAACAGGCGTGAATAGGTGTATTGTTAGTCCATCGTCGGAGCCGATTGTGGATCCTGTGATTTTTTCATTGTTGTGTATTGCTAGCTGCGTTGTAAAAGTCTGACATAGGGCAATGCACGATGGAGAAGACATTTTGCCGTCGTGGATTTCATCATCTCATGCCCATTGGACCCGTGCTCGAGTTCGATGAACCAGACTACCGGTAAAAGACCATATTTCTGCAGATGCATTATTTACGCTATGATCCTAATGTTCCAGACCAAAAAGGAATCAGGTATCTCATTTTCCATGCATGCTTACCCATATTAAGGTTGGATGTTTCTGTGTAAACATAGTGTGCACTATTTTTGAGCTTGTGTGGGAATCAAAGCTCATTAGGTCCCTTTTTGCTCAAGCCCTGTTTGTCCATCCAGCTGATTGTTTTCGTGTTATCACTAGGCCATGATGTAGCTTCACCTGGGAGTTCTATCTAGAATCCCTGTAAGGTCAATGGACGGCTTGCACAATGAGCAGTTTACTTATCACTTCCCTGACTGCTGCTGAACATGCCTCTTGTCCTTACAGTGATGCCTCACTAAAAATTCAGTTATCCTGATCTTCATGCGCCTGAAAGATCAGATACACTGTGCTGACATCAAGTCTTAATGTCACATAATGTATATTAGGGAGGGGGAGGGTTGAATCTAGTGTGGTCCTGGCAGAGCAGGAGGGGTAAGCAAGTACTAAGATTAATTTGAATCCTCTTTACAGCATTCTAGTCCATCCTCAGTGCATATTCTTAACACATATTTGAGTTCTCTGACAAGTTCCAATGTTCTTCTCCAAGGGCAGGGATTGTGCAACTTGTAGCAGAAGGGTGTTTCTGATAATATTGAGCTCTCTGTTGGTTTAATTTCCAGTGTATTGTATCAGGACTCCTGGATCCTTCATGCTTGCTGGGGCCACCCTGAGGCCTGACACAGGCAGTTGAGACCAGGGTTCTGATTTCCTAGGTTCATCAGCCTTCACTTTTCCTCATTGATGAGTAGCTACCTTATCTTAGCATTGCTCCAGAGCTCTAGTATCAGGCTGGGGGAGTTCCCAACCCTGTTCTGCAGACACTTCCCAGTGAAGCTTATAATTATTTTAAAATGTGGGGGTAAAATGTTAATTGGTGCAATTCCAACCCAAAGCATATTTTCTTCAGCCAGCTTCTTAATTCACATATTACTCTGATGCACAGCATGACTGTTCACAGGAGGTGTCATCAACAAGGCATTGTGAACTTATCCACTGGTGAACTCAGAAGACTTACCCATTAGGTAGCACTGCCACAGTCTCTTTACTGTTAACCAGGTATGTTTTAGAAGTGATGTTCTTTGGCTGTGTTTTTTGTGCTTTGCTGCTTTGCACCAGTCCTCATCCTGCATGCTTGTTTTAGTTCACCAGTCCATGATCACCTCATGCTGCACAGCTTATTCTTGCAAGTTGTCTGTTTTTGTCAATTGGTTTTGTCAATTGAGTGTTGTTGCTATGTTGGCACAAAATATGGCATCATTGTTTTTAGAAGTTTGGTGTTGATCCCCATACCTTTTAAGAAATTACAGAAAACTTGTGAAGTCTTGCTCACACTACATGCCTGCCCACTGGTTCCCTGCATGATTTATTAGTCTGCCATGCAAAGATAAAATGGTATGCCTCATGCACTTTTCAAAGTAAGACTTAAAGAAGGGCCAGTTTTTAATTTAGGGCAAAAGCTTGCATTGCAGGTGTTACACTGATTACAAAATCATGCCTCTGGAATCTCCCATGCACAGCATATTGAAAGGAAATGATGTTGTGCCACCATGTTATGTAAAATGGATGGCATGCATGCTTTGGCTATGGACAGATGTAAGCTGTTAAATGCACAAGGTCTTTGAAGCACATTGGCATAGCACATGATGTGCAAAACAAATAAGTGCTGTCATGTGGGTTTCTGATGCTTATGTCTGGGACACTTGAGGCATGTTCATACCTTAAATGCCTAAAAATTTGTGTTATATGCATTTTTTCTGGAAAGCTTTTTTGCATAGCTTGATAAAAAAGCTGAACTTCACAAACTAGGGTAGCACCAGATGCACCCTCACTTGGGCAATTGAACAATGTAGGAGAGCACTTTAGGCCCAGAAATGACTTCCAAAGTTTTACCTTTGCAAGGCAGTGGTGTGCAGTGTTGTTGAATGTTTTCCCTTTGACTTGTAGCATCATGTAGTCCAATATGTTTTCAGATTCCCCTCCTTTTGTGTGAAGCCCAACATTTCCTGCCCACAGCATGGCTCCCCAGGCTGAATTGCAGAAAGGTAAGATGACAGACACACAGATTGTGCACATACAATGGCTATGTGAGCTTAGGAGTTAACAATACCATCACCATTGTTTTTGTTAATACAGCAACATTAAATGGCTCATTGTTCTTGCTTTTTAAAAATCAGTTGGTAGTCATTGGATTATTTAAGTCACCAGAAGACAACATACTCATTTTTTACTCCAAGCAATGACTTTATACAGCAACACTTTTTATACAGAAAGCATGTTCACAGTAATCATTTTCAGGGGAGAACTTGACAAACATGAAGGCGCTGATCCTCGTGGGCGGCTACGGGACCCGCCTGCGTCCCCTCACCCTGTCGCGGCCTAAGCCGCTGGTGGAGTTCGCCAACAAGCCGCTCGTTCTCCACATGATCGGTGAGTTCTGGGGCTAGTGCTCTTGGGGCTGCAGCTAGATGATGCCATGGGCTGAAGTTGTCGATGTGGCAAATTGATTGTATGCCCTGTCTGTGGGCATTTGTCTGCGTTTAAAATGAACTGGTCCATCATACCAAGCAGTAATGTTCAGGCGTTGATCTGCTCATCCTGACGTCTTGCTGGTCCTACACCGTGTTTGACGCTTCCGTTACTGTTTCTCCATGAATATTTGAACACAGAAATGTCAGGAACTCGAGGGGTGTTAATTGTCAACGCCTTCAACAAGCGTAGCTAGTTACGCGGACACCGCTCCCGCCGCAAAAGCGTTTCGACACATTGAATAGTTTTAACCCAACCCGTTAGTCAAATAAAGTGGTCTTTATTTAGCACGCGCCATGTCACGTCATGTCGCGGCTCTTCATGATAAACTTTCTTCCCCATGTTTGGGAAACATGACATCCTAGGCGGGAGTCGAACTCACGCGGACAATGCGCCCCGAACCCGTTTATTCCTACGTGCCGTGAAATGGCACCAGCGTACTAACCATAAATCCACCGAGGCGGTACGTAAACCGCGAGACCGTACGTACCCCGGATGCCTTCGTCGCGACGGCAGGCTCATTCATCAGCGTGCCGTGTCGCGTCATGAAGACGTTGGCGGTCGTGTTCTGCTCCGTCTTTGACATGCTGTGCTGTACTGCAGTGGCGCGGACGGACGGGTTTGCCCTAAGATGCCGTGTCCTGCCGCGGAATGGCTGTTCGATGTGCGTGTCCCCCCGTGTTGTACCGCGGCGTGCCGCAGAGGCGTCCGGGGATGTTTTTGCTCCACTCCGATTTTTTTCAAAGATTTGATCCTAACCCTTTGAATGGATGGATTTCCGGGATCAGAGCTCACGCTAAGCAGTGCTTGTTGTGCGAGCCGTGGCACCTACCATCCGATCGCGCAATTCCATGTCAACGGCAGAATTTGGTGGCGAAAGCTTAACGTGCCGCAATGCTCGGCACGGTCCGTCCTGCCCTCTGACGTCAACTGACCTTCAGCGCGACCGCTGCCACCAGCCGCAGGACATACCTGTCAAGGGCAAATAGCGAGCGCCCTAAAGCGACTCGAACCCATCCCGCCACGGGTGGGTGCATCGGAAGGCAGGCGCTCTAACCAACTGAGCCACCGGGACGGACAAAGTGCCGCATCATGTCGCGGAAGCGCGGGCGCAACTTGTCGCCACGTGTGACGTACCTGACCGTGCCGCAGAGGCGTTGGTGGACGCGGGCGTGTCGCACGTGGTGCTGGCCGTGTCGTATCGAGCCGAGCAGATGGAACAAGAGCTGCGCCAGGAGGCCGAAAAGGTGCGTATGCACGCTCACGCCCCCCCCCCCCCCCCCCCTCCCCAGTCGTGCGACTGACGCAGAGCGACGCTGGTACGCCCCCAGTCCGCCGCACCCTCACATCAGCAGTCTCCTCCCCACATTGCTGGCCGTACTTAAGGAACTGGTGCAGCTGTGGAGTACTTCCCAATGCCAACCCCTACAAAGGGAAATCGTTTTCATGCCTGGATGGGCACCGCTTCCCATCCCTTCGGCCCAACGCCACCGAGCGCCTTGGTCATGTGTAAGCTTGCTTGCATTCCCGCGTCGCAAGTTCAGGCAGCAGTTTCTGTGTGACCACTTTGAGGCTACCCCGGTTTTTCATCGTACCATTCAGTCATAGTTCTCTGCTGTTGTCGCACTGCACGTTTAGTCTTCCAACAGCGCCTGCCTTGCTCACGGGAACTTGGCTCATATTCAGCCGCGCTTTGTTTTACTGTGCCGAGACTGCTCCCCACTCCATTCTGGTCGCTTTACATAAGGGCTGTATGCGTATAGACCTCGATGAGTGAGAAGGACAGTGATTGCTATGCTGTGCTAATCTTAGCTATGCTAAAGACTTTATCATTCGCGCACCACCCGCATCTGCACCAAATGGAATGATGTAAATTCTGCACCATCATGTTGTGCACCCCTGCGGTGCGTGCGAGCCTACGCGCTGCGTCTCCAGTAGCAGACGCGGGGCTGCATCGGAAGCTGTCGCTACCCAGTAGCTCGTACCCCCGGTGGCAGCTGTGGGCACTGTCTCACGTGCCCCGTCCGTGCCCGCGCGCCCGGCAGCTGGGCGTTCAGATCACGTTCTCGCTGGAGACGGAGCCACTGGGGACGGCCGGGCCGCTGGCACTGGCGCGCGACATCCTCGCCTCCAACGACGAGCCGTTCTTCGTGCTCAACTCGGACATCATCTGCAACTTCCCCTTCAAGGACATGGTCAGCTTCCACAGGAACCACGGCAAGGAGGGCACCATCGTGGTGAGTGGCGAGCGGGGTGCGTCTTCGCCACGGGGTGTGGTGTGGGGCCGCGGTGGTCGGCTGGCAGCTAGTGGGTTTGTCACCGCGCGGCGCCAGCTGGGCACACGTGTGTCGTTTTTAATTGGTATCGATGTGCGCTTTTCTCGACAGCCTTCGCTCTGGGAGTGTGTTGTGCTGCGTACAGCTGTGGGCTGTGTCGCTTGTCTTGCGCACTGTTGGAATGGTCTCACTTTGGGGTATGTGTGCGTTAATGAATTGTCTTTCTGTGGTGCTATCCAATTTAGCAGCGTTTCTTGAAAGGATCTGAAGCATTGTTGGATGTGTGTTTCCACTTGTGAGAATTAAGAGCAGCTGCACCCACCATAGCAAAACATCCTGATTTGACCATTGTTAGCTTGGCAGACCAAGATCCTTGCATTGCTGTATAGAAGACTAGGAAATGTGTCATGCTCCAGGTGGTATGCTCATTTTGTTTGTTTTTTTCTGTGAGGTTGCAGCATGTGAGGCTCCTTTTGCCATCCGCGCTGGACATGAATTGAATGCTTCGGTCCTTGCGCAGCATCTCTAAAACTTAGCCCAAGGATCGCAAATGAGCGTTTCGCGAAGAAGTATGTGCCACAACATCACGGTCCAGTGGAAGACCAGCGATGTCATTTCGAAACACCATTTGCCACTGCCGCCGCTGCCACTTTGTTTACGTCCAAATCGTTTTGCAGGTGACAAAGGTGGAGGAGCCCTCCAAATACGGCGTGGTCTGCTACGATGAAAGAGGGAGAATTGAGCGGTTTGTTGAGAAGCCGTTGGAGTTCGTATCAAACAAGATCAATGCTGGACTGTATATATTCAACACCTCCATACTGGACAGAATTCAGGTTCGTTGCGTTCGTGCGTGCGATCATTGTCCAAGCTAATGTCCAGGGCGCTGACCTGAAGCTTAAAGCTTCCCACGTAGCTGTCCGCAGGCGACAAGTTTATCATTATTACACGTCGACAGCATGTCGGGATATCACTCTGATTCATCCCTCCAGTTTGGTTGTTTTTTTGTTGTCTTAGGGCGTGTCGTGGATAATTGCTGAAGACTGATCAAAGCATGCGTCCAACTTCTCCGTTTCGGTGACAGCTGCGGCCGACCAGTATCGAGAAGGAGGTGTTTCCGGTGATGGCGGAGGACGGCAACCTGTTCAGCCTGGAGCTGCAGGGCTTCTGGATGGATGTCGGCCAGCCCAAGGACTTCCTCACCGGCATGTGCATGTACCTCGGCTCCCTCAAGACCAAGAACCCTTCAGTGCTTCACAAGGGAGACGGCGTGAAGGGTAGCGTCATAGTGGTGAGTGGGTAGCACCATAGTGGTGAGCCGACAACGCCATAGTGGTGAGTCGACAGCGTCATAGTGGCGGATATCGACCGGTGCGCGAGTACCGCTGTCTGAGTTTAGCGCTGCCAGTTTTTTTTTTTTTTGCTTCTTTACGGGGTGAAGCTAATGCTATATGCAGAAGTCACGGATGGGGAGCACATCCGTAAGTTATTCATGCACACAGATGGGATATCTTGTATGTAGTTGCACGAGCAAAGAGTGGGGTTAGTTAGTGGTATCATAATGCAGGCGATCAAAAGACAGCCAGACGGAGCCAGACGCAGTAGAAACGTCCACATGAATTACATTCGAGTGTCCTTCCTGCGTGATAGATAAGTACCAAATGCGCTGCGCTGATGCTTGGGCAAATGTAGTGCTATGCGCCTCGCAGTTGCTGGCATATTTTAGTTAACGAACAAACTGGTTTAATTTGGCACGACTTCGTTCTGTGATTGAGATCTGCGTATTGTGAAAGCCATGTATTTTGAGCAGGTTTTGGTGCACTGAAGCGAGCCTAACACCTGCATGGGTTTCGTTGCGGCAACTGCGTTTAAACGTATGCTGTTCGATAAAAGTGGAAAAAGGCGACGAATCCTTGGGTTTTCGGCATTATGAATTGTGCTGAACCAGGAGATACCGGGTACATTGGAACATAGTACATGGAAATCGCTCGACGTTTCCCGCTGTGCTCGCATCGGTGAGCGCTGATGGAAGCGTTCAATGGTGTAATGGTATACCCCATGATTGCCTGGCAGCTCTTTGACTTTTTCCTGCCCGTATTGAAAGTCAGCTACTTTGCGTACACGAACTCATGTGATCTTCGGAATGTTTTTTTTTTTTAATGCGGCATTTCTCTTCTCATACAACATAAATGGTGTATGTTTTGTAGATCGGATGCTATAAAAAGATTTAACCAAACATCTTGCTCTAACCTCTCTCGACAACTGTCCGGTCCCCATGTACCTTCAGGTAATTTCCCTGCCCCTGTACCCCTCGGTAACACTCACCTGTGCGACCGTCGGATTCCATCGCCCCTGCGCCTCACGCTCCGGGTAACCTCCCGCCCCGTGCGCCTCTCAGCCGCCGCCTGACCCAGCGCGCCCCTCCGCGAGCTTCCTCCCACCGACGCGCGCCACTCGGCGCCGCTCTGACCCGCCGCCGCCGCCGCCGCCAGGACCCGACAGCGCGCATCGGCAGCAACTGTCAGATCGGGCCGAACGTGACGATCGGGCCGGGCGTCGTGATCGAGGACGGCGTCTGCATTCGGCGCGCCACTGTCATGCGCGGCGCCCACATCAAGTCGCACACGTGGATCGAGAACTCGATCGTCGGCTGGTCCTGCGTCGTCGGACAGTGGGTGAGCGGCTGGCGGCGGCGCTGGTGCGCCAGCGGTGCAGGCGTGCGTAAGAATGGCGAACGCTTGGAATTATTTGATTCTGTGGGTCCATGCTGGGTTGCTTTGGGGAATGACGAACGACGTGTTGTGCTACATTGCTTTCTTGTTGACGAGCACCTGCGGGATGATGAGACCGAGCTCAATGTAGTTTTTTGTTAGTTTTTCGAAAATGGACTTAAGCGGTGTGGACCACGTTTTACCTTTTCGTGTGTGGCTGGCTTTCTGCTGTAGGCAGGCCTTAGTGTGGCGCAGCCCCCCCCCCCCCCGCGATTAGCTGCCCGTATAAAGTCGCACGGGGATCGCCTTCACCGCATTGTGGGCTCTCGGCTCGCGTGTGCTCTGGCCGCCGCCGTATGGCGCCACCATCGCGTGCTGACCCGACCCCTGACAGCCCGGTCCGCCGCTCCCCGCCAGGTGCGGATGGAGAACGTGACCGTGCTGGGCGAGGACGTGATCGTGCAGGACGAGATCTACGTCAACGGCGGCATGGTGCTGCCGCACAAGTCGATATCGGCGTCGGTGGCCGAGCCGCGCATCATCATGTAGCGAGTCGTACCAGGGCGGGCCGGCGCCCGCAGCGCCGGACGACTCCGCCCTAGGGGCCGGGCAGCGCCGCTGGGGGCTGGCACAAAGTGGGTTCGGGTCGGGGCACGACGGGTGGGTTCGCACGTGCCTTTCCAGACGGTTGTGTACAAATGCGTGGTGCGACGCGTTGTGGCACAGCGGCGCGCCGCGTTTGTAGCTCGGCCGGTGCCGGGGTCGGCCGTGGATCGATGGCGCTACCGGGCTGCCGTTTTGTTTGCGTTGTGGCAGACAGGGCCCTGTCCGCTATTGCGATGCTTAATTATTTTCAATTTGTGGAACCTTCTGGCTTCCAGGACAAATTACTTCCGTGGGGCGGTACTATACGTAATTGTCGTGAGTTGGCCGGCAACTTATATGTTTCAAACAGCAGCTCCGGTATCTACCCGCTGGAGAAGAGGGCAAAACTTCGTTGCGACGACCACGACGAATGCGCTCAACAGGGCTGTGGAGATCAGAATGGTGCCATGCTGCACGAGATTCCCACGGAGATTCCGTTGTCATATTTGCATTTTGTCATGTGTTTTCACGGTGCCGTTAAGGGCGCCTATGTTGTTTTTATTATGATGCTTGACAAAGTATATATCTCTAAAAATATTTAGTTTATTTTCCCTCAGTGTCCTGTGTGTTCTCACAATAAGTCTTCATTGTAAAGAATATTATATAATTATTATATTTAAAACTTCAGACGCGGGCAGGGACCGTTTCTGAAGTAAGCTGTTTTAGGTTTCGTAAATTATTGCTTCGCTTTGGGGTATGAGCGTCTGCTCTGCGTCCGGTGCATTTGATCTGTTGCGCACCGTAATACATCTCGTGTGAAGTGAAACTGACGTTCTGTCCCACCTGCCGCGATACGAAAACGGGTCATGATGTGTTTAAACACTGCGTGCATTCTCAGTTGGTAGCAACAGCTTATCGTGTTTGGTGTCACACCGACTGGCCGGGACCTCTACCGACTCACCGATTCATGGGTGGAGAGCAAGAGAGAAGACCACGTCGATGTCCGCTTCAGATAAATCCGCAAGACACTTGAGGTCAAATCCACTAAATTCTCGACTTGGTGATCACGGCCAGCAAATGAGCCAATCGCAGCGCTCATCTGCCGCGCTACGTAAGGACATGGAGCGAAGCGTGGTGTAGGCCGGGGCATGACAAAACCCGGACCTGGAGCGTGCACCTTTCCAAAGGTTGGTCTTAACAATGCTATATCCCATTAACGACGAGTGACACCGACGAGTGTGCTCTCAATCGAGACACGCCTGTCAGCGTGCTTGGGTTATCACGCGGATGTCAAACACTTCACTGATTTAAAAGGCAAGATATCGTCAACTCCCTTCCTCTCCCAGACTTATGGAGCATCGTCACAGTATATTGCACGTGTACTCCACTTCGCACTGGGACGGGGACTCTGTTATGTGGAGCTGAACCAACGCGCCCACCATCCAGCCTTCGCAGGAAAACCGATTTCAAGACAAAACATCTGCGTTCCATAACAATCAACATTTCACAGCAGCCCACTACGCACAACACGCCTCACTGCCGAAAGTCCGGCGCGGCGAGCCTTGAGCGGCGGGCTCACCGCCGCCACGTGCCGCCGTCAGCCGGCGGCGGCGCGCGCGCGCTCGGCCGCCTCGGCCGCTTGGCGGCGCTGCTGCCGCTCGCGCTCGATGTACACCGGCAGGTCGTCCATGGGGCGGTAGGCCAGGTGCACGGCCTGCGAGCCGGCGAACATGCTGGCCAGCGCGGCGGCGGTGAAACGCAGGTACTCTGCCCAGCCGACGCCGGCTGGCATGCTGGCTCACGCTCCGTCGGCGGCCCGGTCCAGCGCGCGCTGCGCCTCGCGCCGCTTGTACGTCTTGTCTGACGAGCAGCGAGGGTGGGGGTCACACACGGGAAGCTTGGCGGGCGGTGGCGGGCACACGCCATCATTATCATCATCAGTCATCCACAGGCTAAAACGTAACAGAAAGAGTACGAGAGAAATAAAAACTTCGTAAATCATGCGAACGCTTGTCGTAAAATAAATACATATGACAACACAACGCGCCCAACGTAGCATACGTTCGGGCTGTAGACAGTCAACTGTCCCGTCGGGAGTCAAAATCACGTACAGAAGTTGGTTTCACCGGCGTGCCAGTTGATCATGGAGAACTCGAGAGCCGCTCCAAGAATGAAGAAGAAAGGCAGAAACCGGTAAATTCCGAACGTCCGTCTCCCCGGCCACGCTTCTAAAACGCGCCGAAAATGCTTGCTTTGAAACATGTGCTGGAGTTCGGCCTGGAAAGCAATTCACGTCATTATGATACTTATGTTTCGAGCCTCTACAATACAAAGGCAGCCCATAAATCTTAAAACAAAACATATCAATAAATTGCCAGCATGACACAGCACATCTATGGTAAAGCTCATTCTCAATGCTCTAGTGTTGCTCTGCAGGCACAGCCTGGCAAAAAGGCTGCAGACAAATTTGCCTGTTAAGCTGCCGTGATACTGCCTGGCTGGTGATTTTTAGGCATAGGCAACAAACCCTGCTTGGCAGGTACAGAGGCCCTCAAGCCCAGTACCAGCCCTGCAGCAAAGAAGACAGGATGGGGTACTTTGTGTAATGCTTTTACAAGTTTGAGGCTGGCCAGAGCAGCCAAAGAAGGTTAACCTGGCACAGCTCAATTGTGTCTGGTGTCATATGGTACATGAGAGGTCTCTCCTCAATTCTGCCTGGCCTGAAGCAGTCTCATGAAATTTTATCTGTTAAACTTGAATGGTACTACTTGGGTGGCAGATGCAGAGCACCAGAAATATCCTCTGTACATAATATATTGAGCCCTATGCCACACATCTAAAAAAGGAGTCTCTCAGTATAAATAATTCAGAATATGCACAAAAACAGCTGAGGTCTCTTGGATTTACGGCCTATGAGTTGCATGAAACTCTGTTAGGTCATCTAGGTGTGCCTCAGTGACTGTGCAAGCCTCATTACATATAAACTACCTAGGTTCTCAAAACAGATTTACTAATTTTGATCAATTTTAGCAGATTTTGCTAGATCTTTCACATGGAAACAGCTTATCCAGATTTGGCGGATTAAGAATGAATATTCTATCCCATGTCTGCTACATACAGGCAGGCCACTTACATACATACACAGGCCACTTACATGCATACCCAACTAGCTACTCAGAAGCATGTACCATATTTATATAACAGACATTGCCTTGTACCTACCCATCTTGGTAAATCTGTACAAGAGTACATTTTGCTGCACACTTATGTACAGTGCTGGTAAACCCATCAAATATATGATATTTGATTTTTCATCTCAATCATTAATACCAGAATAAGCAAATCAATGCACAAAATTGTCTTTCAAGTCACCAACCCATGGTAGGGTGGGTTCAAGCCCTTTTAGAGTTTTAGCACTGCCTGCCCACATCTGGGATGGGTTCGCAGTCAAGAGACCTGCCTGCCATGCATAAGATCAGGTAACATGCGACAAGAGGGCATGCCAGCTGAGCTGAGGAAGCTGAGAGGAAGAGGATTGCTGCACATCAATTTTTGCCACAAAGTTATGCCAATGTTACAAAGTTTCAGCATTGTATGGTGAGGTCAGGTCTCATGAGACAGGCACCTCTTTGTGTGATCACGCTGCCATCCAAAGGCAGACAGACAACAGTGATGTTGTAATAAATGGTGCTTATGCCCTCTAGCCTATAAATGGCCATATCAATTACAAAAATCCACCCGCTTAAATAATTTGAAAACAGCCTTGACAGTTGCCAAAACTTAAATGCCAGACACAAAACCTAAAAATAGAACCAAAAATGCTAATACCCCACCCAGCATCCATATCGACCAATAACAAACAAGCCTATAACAAGCAGCATTGTCGCCATAACAAAACAATTTCTCGAGAAAAAGCGCCAATATCAACCAAATACACCGACAATCTCAGCAATACTCTTCGTAACTGTCAATTTTTGCCAGTGTCGCCACAATCATCACCTCAACGATTACCGCCGTTACTCTGCAAGTACGATAACGCCACACACTAAGAAAAGTCGTAGGACCAGCTCACTCTGTTCTTATCAAACACCGAGCTAACGCAGCGCCGGTTTTTGTTCCTATGATTGGCGTGCGATCTGTTCTTGGCGGTAACCCGATGAAATGGCAGCTTTCATTGGCTCAAAGGAGGAAACATAACGGAATCTCACAGGAGCGAAAACACCTACATGCTAACGGATAATCTGGCGCGGCAAGTTCAATTGAACACTATTCTGTCGTGGGGATCGCATATTCGTTTCATCTTTGATTGGCATCGTTGTTGTTTTCGGTACAGTAACTGTGAAGAAGGGTTGTGGGCTTGTACTTTATGATGTGTCCGAAAAGGTATGCTAAATTATGTGCTTTGTCCGAAACATACACACAAATGAGCACTGCACTTGTTTCCGTATGGTATAATCATGATTTATGGTATGTCTTAAAAACGTCAATTGGTGAACAATTCAGTACTGTATTGCCAGGTATATATGTATGCCATGACCCCAGATTTAGTCAAATCTCAGTTAAAATCATTAGCACTTTGTGCATGAAGTAGAAGCAATCCTGAAACATGATCCATAGGGATGTCTATGTTTCCTTTTCTTTCAGATTTTGACAATTAGTGTCACAAGTTCTACCTGCAGGGAAACATCAGAAGAGATGACAGATGGAGTCTGAAAAGGAGATTGAAGATTGCATTGAATCCCTTCAACATTTAAATGACACCACTGAATTTCAGAAAAGATGCATGTCTCAGATTTCTCTTGCTGTCAACCTTAGTGACACCTGTGTGGACAACTATTTCAGCCATAAGTTGAAGATTACAGAAGATGCAAATCAGCAACATGTTAAGATTAAAGTAAGAAATGAAACTGGCAGTGTATTTCATCCAGATTTTTGGAAAATTGTTTTTGGGATACATTTTCCCAGTGGAGAAAACAGAGCCACCTTTAATTCTTGGTCCCTGTTGAAGTCATGGAAGCAGGGTGATGCCCTTGATTTTGATCTCCCCATCAAGCCACTCCAGAATGGAGTCCAGACTATTGTCTGCAACCTAATCTTCAGTGTCCCAAGCTCATATGTGGATGACAGTGAGACACCCCATGAGTCCCAGGCAACCCGCACATCTCTTCTGGCGCTGCCACTGTTCAGCACCACCCTGGATGAGCTGCATGCGCTGGAGGCGGCGTCGGCCGTCAGCGCTGTGCCGCCGCCGGCTCCGCCGACCGCGCCGCTCCTGCTGCCGCCGCCGACCGTCGAGCTGGTACCGGCGCCGCCGCTGGAGCTGGGCGTGGCGCTGGCGCAGCGGTGCGCGCCATCCGAGCGGCTGGCGGCTGCGCTGCGGGACGGCCGCTGCCGGGAGGACGGCCAGGAGTCGGCCGTGTCGGCGCGACTCTGGGGCTGGCCGGTGCGACTGGCCGCCTCCGAGCCAGCTGGCGGCTCGCTGCTGGTGGCTGGCGGGCCGCGGCTGGCACCGCTGCTGCGGCTCCAGCGCGCCATGCGCCGCCGCTTGCCGCCGCCGACCGTTGACACCGTACGCGTGCCCAGCCACGTGCTGGCGCGCCTGCGCGGCCTGCTGGAGCGCGTGCAGGCGTGGAGCGGCGACCCGTCCCGCCTGCTGGAGCTCTGGTCGGCTGTGCTGCAAGGCGTCTCACACAGACTGCCACATGTCTAAGACTACAGACTGTCACACGTGTAGGCTTACAGACTGTCAAATCTAGTGCTTCAGACTGCCGCATGTTTAGTAGCACCGCCAGGGGTGGCGGTGCCCGCCTTGACCCAATGTTTTCAGTGTATTGTAAGTGTAACTGAAAGAGTAAACTACTCCGTCCATGGCGAGAAGTCAAGGACTGTGGCAATGCCTTTTCGCGACATATTGTTACTGAATGTTCAGTGTTTGCTCAAGTCCACAGCTGACTTACTCTGAAGGAAGGGATGAAAACATTTACATAAATGCCCTAGTATCACAAGCCATACGATAATGGTTTCCTTATCGTCGAAAGATGATAACTGCCACGTGCACCTCATGTGTCTGGCATGACGCGCATCCCTTTCATTCTCGGTGTGATTGTCACTGTGGTGTTTTGCCTTTGATGACGCTTTGGCGTGTGATAGCTGCGGCCTTCGTCGGCTGCTTGTTTTTTGTATGGGTATGTCGCTTAGTGCCTGACAACAAAATCGGTTAAGTGGGAGAACACCCGATGTGTTTCGGCGACGAGAAGTTAATGATCCGAGCCCATCAGACTGACACCGAGCGTTCGCCATTCGGTGAGCGATGGACGCGGGCAGCGCAATACTAATAGCGAGAAACACTGTCACAAATGCATGCTGCTTGATGGCTGATGCCGTATACGTGACGCAAGACGGACCAAGTTAAAATATACTCATTTATATTATTCTTTGTGTCGTGCTGTGCGACTCGCATTGGGTCCATTCTGAGTCTGTTGCAACTAGATAATGCGGATACTGAGATGTGGGTATCACATTTGCGTTGCAGCGGGTCAGCTAGTCTGTTGTCTCCGAGTTGCAATCTGGAGTAAGTTTGGGCGTATCGATTGTTGAAGCTGAGGGCGGTCAATGTCATTGGTGAGGAGCGCAGAGCTGTGCTCCATCACGACAGCCCTTTCCCAGCGTTTATGGATGGCGTCTGACCTGACTTTTGGCCGAAAGTCAAACAAAATGTCCAGGACTGGAACAATTTCCTTCCGTGTCGTCTTCCCAAAAGAACACCATGATAATTTGCAATGCAATGCGCGCAATTTATTGCCAAGAACTCTACGCACAAATATGGTAAAAACTGCCGACAGCCGGCGAGTGGAGCCGATTAACCATTTACATATGAGTACCGACCAGGATAACGCATTCCCTAATATTTACAAAATGCTTCGAACGCAGGAATGAAGAGAATGTTCAGTTTGGGACGCAAGGATGTTGGCGTACGCCAAACAGCAAGACGACGCGTGATCGGGACACGGACACGGATCGTTGACATGGCTGATGAGTTATCATCTAAAACGGACCAGCCTGAGTGGATTGCGTTGAGACATTTATTTAAACGGTAACTGATATGATGGCAATCACACGTGCTCGCCTTTGTACACGTCATTGCAACAACACGCTGGACGTCTTTGGCGTACTTCGGTGGATCAATCTGCCCACCAGGTTCTGCCGAGCCACGTGGGGCAACCGCAGCTGCCGTGACCCAGGGAGCCGCTCAGGCGGGCTTCCTGCGCGTGCGGGCGGCCGGCCGCGCCGGCTGACACTGCTGGATCTCGTGTTTGACGGCGGCGGCGCGGCGGCGCGTGCTGCGCACCAGCGGCGGGCTGGGCGGCGTGGCAGGCGTCTCGGCGGGCGGCGCGCGGCCGCGGCCGGCGCGCTTGGCCGGCCGGGCGGGCGGCGCGGCCGCGGTCGTTGCCGGCGCCGAGGTCGGGGTCAGCCGGCCCGGCGACACGTCCTCCGGCGCCGCCAGCCCAGCCGGCTCCAGGCCAGCTGGCGGTGCGCAAACACGGTCACACACGCGCACCCGCTCCTCTAAGAGTTGTGAGGCGGGACGTCAGAACTGCAACGCGTAACGGGAGGCAAAAATTCATTTTCATTAAGTGGCGACAGCTAGCCGAGTTCACAAGTCGCAATCAACGCATCGCCCAGTCATAGATAACAGTATTATTAGCCTTATTCCTAAGAGGAAAGCCAGGAGACTGGAGATTGCTTCGAAAAAGGCATGCTGCCGAAATATCAACCCAACTACATCTCCATTCTCCTGGTTTTTCTCCGAGGAATAAGGCTAATACTTCTGTATTATCTATGTGAATAATGTTCTTTGCTACACACTGAATAACGTACATTCCCCAGTTTGGCCAGGGACTGGGGGGGTGTCATGCACACTTACGCACCTTGACTGCTGACGGCCGCTACTTCGTCGTCCTCCTCGGACAGAATGCTGTCTATCAGAATTCGCTGGTTCCATATTTCAGTGAGCAGGTACATGTGTCTTGCGACAAACTGCAACGGAGATGGCAATTAGTGAACAGCCATGTGCATTGGGTTACGTCATGCTCTAAGCACCTACAACTGAGGATCAACCTAAACACGCCGCCGAGCCGACCACAAGGACGCGGTGCGAATCGGACTTAATAAAGAAATGCGGGAGTCACGACGTCCCACAGACGCACCACCTGCCGCGGCCTCTCAGCGGCCCCAATCCTCGTGCGTGTCTCCACACCACGCTACTCTTCCCCGTCTTCCGGAGAGCGTCGCTTTATCCCGCGTCGCCCGCTGCCGCCCCGCGCAGACGGACCGCGCCCACTCGCCTGCTCGCGGCCGGGCAGCTCACGCAGCAGCTGGAGCGCGGCGCCGTTGGCGGCGGCGGCGTCGCGGTGTCGGCCGACCCAGCTGCAGATGTCGGCCTGCGCCAGCCGGCCGCGGCAGCGCGCCACGCGGGCCGCCTCCAGCAGGGCGTCCAGCTGCTCGGGCGCCGGCGGACGGCCCAGCACCGACGCGGCCGCCAGACGCACCTGCGGCGCGGACTGGTGGGAGTCGCACTGCCCGGAGGCGCCGGAGCACGGGCGGAAGGCGAGGCGAGAGGTGCCGGGGCGGACGGGGTGGCCTGCTGCAGTGCGAGCGGACGGGCGGAGAAACGGAAGTCTGCGAGCTGATGCCTGACCACAGGTTCTGACTGAGTGGTCCACTGGCACTGTTTCTGGTGGTTAGTTAGACTCTATTGGGACCAACGGACACGCCAGGCGGCGGTGTTCCGCTGGCTTTGCCGTACATTAGATGCTACCTTTAAAGGCTGTCTGTTAGATGACCAATCGCAAATGTGGTTGGCCGTATTACAACCCAACGTCAACAAACGCCTCAGCCTCAGCCTTACCTCACTCATACCACTTGGTGCATGTTCACGCAAAAATGTTGTGGAGGTCCCAGCAATATGAGAGCCCCGGTTGGCTGTTACAGCACCAACGCAACCCAGCTGCCAACTGCACGGCCGGCATCACCGCTCACCTTCTCCTCGAGCAGGGGGTAGAGTTGGTCGGCGCCCTGGCAGTGCTCCAGCGCCAGCGGCACGTCGTCGGCCAGCACGGCGGAGCGGCCGGTCTGCACGCTCAGCGAGAACGCGAGCAGCAGACGGCGCGGGCAGCTGCAGGCCGCGCAGTCCGCAGCCGGCGGCGTGGCGCAGCGGCGCCGGCGGCGCGAACGGCCGGCGCCGCAGCAGCGGCGAGGTGCAGCGCGGCTGCCGCTGCAGCCAGCGGGCGTCGCGGCCGAGCGGGCTGCCGAGCGCGCCAGCCGGCGCCGGCAGCTCGCGGCCGCTCTCGGGCGGCGGCGCGGCGGCGCCGCTGACAGTCACGCTCGGCGCCGGGCTCGGCCGCCGCCGCGCCGCCGCCGCCGCCGCCGGCGGCGCCGGCAAGCTCGGTGCCGGCTTCGGCCGCTTGCTGCGGACCGGGCCGTCCAGCGTGATGTGTCGTAGCGTGTCCAGCTTGATCTGGGTGTCCTCGGCGTCCTCGCAGAGCAGGTCGGCCTCGATCAGCAGCGACAGAAACTCGGCCGTCCTGCCGGCTGCCCGCACGCCGTCAGACACACCCCGCCCCGAACGCTCGAACGCTAGCAACAGCGGCGACCAGTCCGGCGCGCGTGGCAGTACGAGGAGCCAGCCAGATACACCGCGTAGTGGGAGAAACACGTTGATCGAGGGAAGCACAACGCCACCTGATCACAAAATCCATCTGGCAGCCGGCGGTCGCAGACCTAGGCTGGCACGATACCGTCAACGCCCATTTACTCGACCGCACAAGGTTGTTATTCTTACGACGGATCTATCGCAAAACAGCTTCATTATCTGGCTTCCGCAAACGCCATCCATTTCTGATTCATGGAGTCCGGCTACCCCTGCCTAACGTAACAGAGCCCGCCCGGGACAGAGGCACCCATCAGAACCCGGTTACCCCCGTCCAGGGCAACAGAACCCGCCCGGGACAGAGACACCGACCAGAGCCCGGTTACCCCCGTCCAGGGTAACAGAGCCCACCCAGGACAGAGGCACCGACCAGAGCCCGGTTACCCCCGTCCAGGGTAACAGAGCCCACCCAGGACAGAGGCACCGACCAGAGCCCGGTTACCCCCGTCCAGGGCAACAGAACCCGCCCGGGACAGAGACACCGACCAGAGCCCGGTTACCCCCGGCCAGGGTAACAGAGCCCACCCAGGACAGAGGCACCGACCAGAGCCCGGTTACCCCCGTCCAGGGTAACAGAGCCCACCCAGGACAGAGGCACCGACCAGAGCCCGGTTACCCCCGTCCAGGGGAACGGAGCCCACCCGGGACAGAGGCACCGACCAGAGCCCGGTTATCCCCCTCCAGGGTAACGGAGCCCGCTCGTGACAGCGGCACCGACCAGAGCCCGGTTACCCCCGTCCAGGGTAACGGAGCCCGCCCGGGACAGAGGCACCGACCAGAGCCCGGCTACCCCCGTCCAGGGTAACAGAACCCGCCCGGGACAGCGGCACCGACCAGAGTGCGCAGGCGGTGTGGTGGGCCGACTCCATCTGCTCGCGGACGTAGTTGCGGATCTCTCGCGGGCAGTGCATCCACACGAGCACGGAGCCGATGTGGTGGATCGTCTCAAACACCATGCCCAGCGTTGACAAGTGCTCGGCCACGCACGCTGGCCGGTCACGCCCGAAAGGTCAGAGGGGCGGGGCGGGACGGGGAGACGATTGGAGTCGGACGACGGGCAAGGTCGTCGGAAAGAGGCGAAGCCGAAACGCAGTGGCGGACCGGTAATCCCTTGGGTCGAGTGAAAACTAGCTGGCCTTTCACAAGAACAAGCTTTTCATAAGAAAGCCCTATGCCCACGTTCTTTGAAGGGCCACGTTGTTGAGCATACTTAAGGAGAGACGGCTTTTCATCTTATTTTTCCTGGAATGAGCAGAAAATTATGATTCCAGAAATAAGTTTTCCAGCCCAGCAAACCCAGAGCACCTGCACTGTTGCCGTTATTGGGCTTTATCAACGGCCAAGACGCCACGAACAAAAACATTGGCCTAAGCAAATTACCCCCAACTTGCACTTGCTTCCCATGACAGTACGACACAACGCCGCGACACAAACACCCAGGCACCCCAACAGCTGCCCGTCCCCGCCGCACGGCTGGCACAGCCACCCACCGGGCTTGTCGACAGCCATCCACATCTTCACGCAGCGGGCGTAGAATGCAGCGAGCGCGGCCAGCTCGAGCGCGTTGCGGTCGGCCGTGGAGGGCGGCACGCAGGCGCACAGGGACGCCAGCCGGTGGGCGTCGGCCGCCACGCGGAAGTGTTGCGTGGTGCGCGTCAGCAGCAGCGGGTCCGTCAGCACGGCGTCCAGCAGCGGCAGGGCCGACCGCACCTGGTGGGAGGGACGGAGCTCAGCGTTGTCAGCGAACGAGTGTCAGCGCTGGGACATGGCAAGTCAGCACCTGGCGGCGGACGGCAGGTCGGCACCTGGGGGGGGGGGGGGGGTCAACAGGTCGGCACCTGGCCGGAACGTCAGGTCAGTACCTGGTGAGCAACGGCGATTTAGCACCTGGGAGAAGGGTGACGGCAGGTCAGTATCTGGTGAGGCATTGCAGGCCGGCACTTGTGAGGGAGGACAACAGGTCGGCACCTGGCGGGGAACGACAGGTCAGCATCTGGCGGGGGACATCAGGTCGACATCTGGGAGGGGGATGGATTGCAGACCAAACCCAGGGAGCAGCAGGCGTTTTGCGGCGATGCGGGGCGACTACTAGAAACGGCGTGACATGGACGCGCCGCATGCACATGAAATACACAATTTCGTGACGCGTGCTGGAGCTTGCTTTCAATGCATGTAGTTCTCAGACACGACCGCCTAATATAGATGACCTGAGCTTCACAGCACGGGGTCGCTCCGCTCCTGTAACGATTCCCGTCGCGCGCGGCAGCGGCCTGACACAGCGCAGCCGGATCACCCTCGTGCCGGGGCTGTCACGGACCTCGTGGCGGTGATAGTGGCGCCAGGCGCGCGCCACGGTCCAGCGGAGCTTCAGCAGCGGATCGTCAGAGGCCGCCGCCAGCGCCGTCACAGACTCCAGCGCCTGCTCCTCCTCCTCCGGCCAGAGGTGCAGCTGCAGCAGCTCGCAGGCCGCTGTCGGGCAGAGTGCGCAGCTCAGAGGCCGCACGGCAGCCGGTCAAAGCGCAGGACACCGCCGGATGGCACGCTCGGGTATAACGACAACACGGGGCTGAAGCCGGCTGTTGTCACCGTACGTGTCCAGACAACAGCTCGAGGGGTTCAAACTCTTCGGCGACAAATGATTTCAAAGCGAACTCGATCAAATGACATTGTTTGGTCATGAGACGACTGTAAGGCCGTTAGTAAGTTGACCGCTAATGAGTCGGTCGCTAGTGAGTCGGCCGCCGGTAAGTCGGCGGTTAATAAGTCGGCCGTCAGTGCATCGGCCGCTAGTAAGTCGGCCGCAAGTAAGTCGGCCGTTAATAAGTCGGCCGCTAGTGCATCGGTCGTAAGTAAGTCGACCGCTAGTACGCCGGCCGTAGCTAAGTCGGCCGTTAGTGCATCGGCCGTTCGTGCATCGGCCGCTAGTAAGTCGGTCGTTAGTGCATCGGCCGTTCGTGCATCGGCCGCTAGTAAGTCGGCCGCTGGAAGTCGGCCGCTAGTTTGTCGGCCTGTAGCGTAACACCTAAGCGTGAGTGAATCAGTTCACGGGTGGGGTTCACGGCCAAGCCTAGTCATTGCGTTCTTCAGCCGCACCTTCTACGTCACTACCAATGCTTAATAATCAGCTCCGCCGAGTCCCGGCGTCCTCCCCGTGCCGCGGTGGACGTGCGCGGCGTGCCCTCACCGGCGATGGCGAGCGCCGAGTCGCCGAGCCGGTCGGCGGCGCGGCGGACGAGCCGCCAAGCGCCACCGGCCTGCAGCCGGTAGCCCAGGCCCGAGTGCAGCCGGGCAGCGCCCAGCACCACGGCCAGCAGGTCGGTGGGCGGGTAGTCCTCCGACTCTGTGCGGTCCTGTCGGCGCCGGGGCCGCTGGTCAGAACGCCGGGTCTGGGCACGGTCACAAGGTCACGCAACTGGGGCATGGTGGCAGGATCGGGTCAGTGTCACAGGGGTGGGGCAAGGTCAAAGGGTCGGGTGAGGGGCACCAGGCAACGTCAAGAACACTGGGTCACGGCGGCTATGAGGTCACAGGGCAAGGTCACAGGGTCACGTCAATGTCACAGGGCCACGTCAATGTCACGGGGTCACGTCAATGCCACAAGGTCACGTCAATGTGACAGGGTCACGTCAACGTTACGAGGTCAGCGGAGGCGCGGTAGCCATCCGATCCTGTGGGGCACTACTTGATACTGCAGACCACGGGTCAGGTCACAGGGTCACTGTAGATCCTGGCCCCATCACCATCCTCAGGCCTTCCCACGGCTCTCTCGACGAGCCACTTCCTGTCGCCGCCCTGGTCCATCAGCAGCTCGCCTCGTCTAGCCGCCACATGTCACCTGTACTACATCTGAATCAGTGGTGTTCCTGCTCCAACAGCGGTCCACAGCTGTCAGCCCTGGTCTCCTGGATCAGCCCCCTGTCCCCTCCCCCTGCAGCGGCCGCACCACGCCCCTGGTGCGGCGCCAGCCTCGCACGCGCAGCGCGCGGCGGCACGACCGACCGACCGTGTCGAGCAGCGCCCGCGCCAGCTGGACCGCCGCCTGCAGCGGCTGCAGCGTGGCCGCCTCGCGCTCCAGGTTGATGGCCAGGTAGTCGGGCACCACCGTGCACGAGGCATCCAAGTCCACCTCGTCGTCCGGCTGTTCCGGCCGCTGCGTGAGGCGCGCCAGCGGCGACAGCTGCGGCAGCGCCGGCGCGGCCGTCGGTCAGGCAGGCGCGCAGGGCAGGCGCGACACGACACGGCACAGCAGTACCGGCGGCCGGTGCGAGGCAGTCAGGATGTCGCACTAAAACGCTCAACAAGTTTCCCACCACGCGACGGAACCACTGGGAGTATGACAGCTAACTGGTAAGTGGTTTGAGGCATGCCAGAGTACACAGCTTGGTTTTACAAACTCTGACATCGCAAGGACTTGCTTATCACAGCTCATATAATATCGAAGGTTTATCAATACTATTAGCAATATAGCAATTAGCTCAGTATCAGCTCAGTATCAGGGCGATCAGCCACCGTAGCGAACATGGGTTCACGCTTAAATGTATTCAACCTGCGATTTTCCGGGGGCGCAAATAAACCACGCCAGCCTCTGCCCACACAGGAGTCACGCAGCCTTCGGAGCGGGAGCACCGGCCACCGCGGGTTCGACTCGCCTTGGACGCCTCCATTTCGACCCGTTTCCGGCTGAGGCAGAGGTGATAATTGGCGACGCACAGGTTCAGCGCCAGCGGAGAGGCGGCGCCGTCCTGCCCCACCTGCCGACGTCAGTGCGCGGGGTCAGCCCGCCCGGCCGCACAGCAACACCGCGCCTCGTTCAGGCCGGACGGCGGGCGAACGGCAGACGGTCAGCAGCTCAGCGGGATCAGTAGCGACATGAGACGCCGCGGCTCGTCAGCAACGGATCAGTTCGCAGGCCGCGACAAGGAACGCAGCAGCGAGTGGAATAGAACGATCGCGAGGGCAAGCAATGCCAAAAGGAGGGTAAACTTTACAGACGACGGCGAATGTAGGACCATTACGAGGACGAATGGTGGTTCGAAACGACCACCCCAAAGTTCAGCCACCGACAAAACTCTTGTAATTGCTGCCTTCTCTCGCTCAGCGGCTACCGACGACTCGAGCTGCTCCACTGCTCTCCTGCCAGGCAGCAGGCCGTGCCAGCCGTACCTGGTCCGTCAGTATGGCCACGGCCTGGGCGCAGTCGGCGGCCGCCAGCTCGGCGCTGCGGCCCGGGTCGGTGCGAGTGCGCGTCACCAGCATCCACGCGCGGTCGGCCGGGCGCAGGTCGGGCAGGGTGGCCAGCTGCTCCAGGGCCGCCCGCACCGGCACGCTCAACTCCTGGGCGCTGTGGGTCACGGCAGGTCACACGGGTCGCCCAGCTTCCGCCCGCGGAGCATGCGCCGGGGTCAGAAGTCTCTGGGTCGGGCGAGGTCGGCGGACGCGGCGCTGGCGGCAGCACCCGGCGAACCGACACACACACACGTGACATGACCCACACAGCGGAGCAAGGTGACGGCAGACAGCTGACGCAAACGTGACGCACTGACGGTTGAAGCTGTAGAAAGCTGGCTTTTGGCACATGCCAAGCGCCCACCAAGCCCCACGAAGGATGCCAGCACCTGCGGTCGTTGCCGACGGAACAAACAATTGCTATAAAAAAAACAGGAAACAGGATCCTCTCACAGTCCCGTTTAGCCAAAGAGACGGTACGATATGTTCTATCGGACTAAAACGTAATGCTTCCTGCCGATTTTAGGGGAAATGTGACATGTTTTGCGTATGAATCGAAAGAATCGTTCAACATGTACTTGTGTAATAGACCACAAGCCTATCATCTAGCCACCACATACGAGACATGCTGCTCTTGGGACACGTCCATAGGAAGCGTGGTGGCCATCCACTAACCTGATCAGCACGTACTGCTTCACCTCTATCTTCAGCAGCCGGGCGGTGTCCGTGGCGTCACCACTGCCCCGCTGCTGCTCCCCCAGTACCTCTAGCATGACCTTCGGCACCGTCTCGCCCTGCGGGATCCACAGACCTTGTTAAGTATTCAGATATGAGATACTGGTGGTTTGGACTGAAATTAGGAAGAAACCACCACGCCAAACTCCAGTGTATTAAGATTACGGCGCATAGCAATCACAGCCCATCCAGCTAAGGCTCTGTCGTGAATGTGAATCTGAAAACGACCGATCAAATGCCTCTTGCAAAAAACCGACAAAAAGCAGTTAGTTCTAGCCCAAGCAGACGTGTTCGCCTTTTAGACGACAGCCAAGCCAAACCTCCCGCCAGACAGTGCTGTGTACTCCCCACACAGTTCTCACCTCTCCCACGACAGTTTTCACCTCTTCCCAGAGAGTTCTCACCTCTCTCCAGATACCCCCCCCCCCTTTCTCACCAGACAGGCGGTGTGCTGCCGGCGAGCAGCGTCGCGTTTGACCTTGGCCCAGCCGGCGAGCAGCTGCAGATGGTGCTGCGGCGCCAGCGGCAGGGCGCGCGCCAGCGCCCTCAGCGCCGCCGCGAACTGCTCCCGACCGCGCAACGCGTCCGCCAGCACCTGCACCTTGCTCGCCACTGACGACGACTGCCGACAGACGGGAGTGACAGCCGGGGCTCACGGGCTACGCTTCCACGTGGACAATGCGGGTTTGCATATCAGTCGCGCCATGAGTCCCGGACGCTAATGGACTATCGACGGACGGAGCGAGGTAGGGTACCGTGATCAACGTGAGGGCTGACTTTCTGCTTTGGTGTCGACTGGTGTAACCGAAGGGTGATATGGACCGATACGCAGTGACAAACGGAAGTGCTTCAGCCATCCCACCTAGACTGTATGTGTCATCAGCGAAAACAAAACTGAATACGAGACTGAAACAATTCTACGTCACATGCAATCACGTTGGTTTCCAAGCATAAGTGTCCAGTGGTGGCCAAAGTAATGCAACGCGGCAATGTAACACATCATCCATCCGTGGCAGTAACGTAACCACTTTGAAAGAGAGATGAAAGCGAGTTCGAGATGGCACGGGCTGACGGTAAGACCACTTGGCGTCGCGTTCAGCCGATAGTAACCACCGGAGCGTGAGAAGCCCACCTTGAGCTGGCACGGGTCGCAGGCTGAGGCGGTCGTTAGGAAGAGCGTGAGCACATCCACGGCCTCGTCCAACCGGCCAGCCCGGTTGGCCAGCGTGCCCAGGTTCCCGGCTACCGTCGCTGGGGGTCAGCCGAGGTCACCTGGAGGCGGCGCATGCCAGGCACGACACGCACGGCGAGCAGCGGCCGAGGGGAGTGAGCGGGCCTTCCGCCCCGGACGAGGGAAATTCGCCCAAGGCATCGATGTCTAACGGCGAAGTAGAAGTGGCGCTTCACGTATATAAGTCACGGCGGTCCGTGGACAACTCAGTTGGTCACATCGTCAACGACCGGACACAGCAACTGACACAGCACAAGACAAACCGACGGCTCAGCCACACTCGCGCCAACCGCGTGCCCCCCCCCCCCCTCTCCTCTCCCTCTCTCTCTCGCTCTCTCTCTCTCCCTTTCCCTCCCCTCTCCCTCCTTCTCTCTCTCTCTCTCTCTCCTCTCTCCTCTCTCTCTCTCTCTCTCTCCTCTCTCCTCTCCTCTCCTTCTCTCTCTCTCTCTCTCTCTCTCTCTCCTCTCTCTCTCTCTCTCTCTCTCTCTCCTCTCTCTCTCTCTCTCTCTCCTCTCTCTCTCTCCTCTCTCTCTCTCTCTCTCTCTCTCTCTCTCTCTCTCTCTCTCTCTCTCTCTTCTCTCTCTCTCTCTCTCTCTCTCTCTCTCTCTCTCTCTCTCTCTCTCTCTCTCTCTCTCTCTCTCTCTCTCTCTCTCTCTCTCTCTCTCTCTCTCCTCTCTCTCTCTCTCTCTCTCTCTCTCTCTCCTCTCTCTCTCTCTCTCTCTCTCTCTCTCTCTCTCTCTCTCTCTCTCTCTCTCTTCTCTCTCTCTCCTCTCTCTCTCTCTCTCTCTCTCTCTCTCTCTCTCTCTCTCTCCTCTCTCTCTCTCTCCTCTCTCTCTCTCCTCTCTCTCTCTCTCTCTCTCTTCTCTCTCTCTCTCTCTCTCTCTCTCTCTCTCCCTTCTCTCTCTCTCTCTCTCTCTCTCTCTCTCATCTCTCTCTTCTCTCTCTCTCTCTCTCTCTCTCCTCTCTCTCTCTCTCTCTCTCTCTCTCTCTCTCTTCTCTCTCTCTCTCTCCTCTCTCTCTCTCTCGCTCTCTCTCCTCTCTCTCTCTCTCTCTCCTCTCTCTCTCTCTCTCTCTCTCTCTCTCTCCTCTCTCTCTCTCTCTCTCTCTCTCTCTCTCTCTCTCTCTCTCTCTCTCTCCTCTCTCTTCTCTCTCTCTTCTCTCTCTCTCTCTCTCCTCTCTCTCTCTCTCTCTCTCCTCTCCTCTCCCTCTCTCTCTCTCTCTCTCTCCTCTCTCTCTCTCTCTCTCTCTCTCTCACTCTCACTCACAGCCCGCTGGGCCAACCGGCCGCAGCTGCGCTCACCGAGAACGCTGGACCACCAGGCGGCGTCGGCGTCGGCCAGCCGGTCCCCGAGCGGCGTCATGCCACGCAGCATGGCGAGCGCGGCGGCCAGCAGCGGCGGCGCCGGCGCGCCCGCGCCGCGCAGCGACTCCACCAGCAGCGTATGCGCCTAGGTTGCAAGCGCGGCCGGCGGCGACGGCCTGCACATGGGGCGGCAGCGGAGCGCAGGCCAGCAGGCGGGCGGCGTCGCACGCCAGCTCAGCCAGCCCGGCCGACACCTGGCGGCGGCCAGCGGCGGTCACGGCCGGATCAGAGGCGGCACAGGAGGGTGGGCCCGGGGCATGGCACGGCGCTGCATGCGGGAGGTGAAACATGCCGCGATGAGGTGGTAGAACGTGTCACAGGGTACAACAGAGCACAGTAGAACCGGTTGGGCAGAACACAAGAGTTTCGTCAGGAGAAAGGTTGTCAAGAAAGTGCATTTATCAACAATGCGCACACCGTCAGTTTATAGAATATACACCAGGGTAATTACGCAATACGACTGAGGGTGATCCAAGTCCCATGCACGAACCGTCGGTCTGTCTGGACGGTTGTCCCGGGTCAGCTGGAACAGGAGCTGGTGGACGGTGAAGAGCGCCTCGGCGGCCGTCTGGTCCAGAGGCTGCAGCTCGCGCAGGGCGGCGGCGGCCGACGCTAGCGCGTCCGCCCTCCCGCCGGCCGCCTCCAGCAGGCCGGCCACCAGCCGCACCGACGGCGGCGGCGCCTCTGGAAAAAGCTCGCGCAGCCGCACCGGCAGCGCCACCGACGGCCCGGTGCCGCAGCAGGCCAGCCGCTGCCGCCGCCAGCGCCAGCGGCAGGCGCTGGCCGGCCGGCGCCGCGGCGGCCAGTGCCAGCAGGCCACCGGCCAGCGGCGAGTCGGGCGTCGCCGCCGCCGGCCGGGCCCAATCGGACACGGTGAAGGCGGCGGCCGCCAGCTTGGCATCGGCCGGCCGGCTGAGCAGCAGCTGGCGGAGGCCACTCAGCAGCAGGGCGCCGGCCAGCGGCGGCGGCCGCGCGCGCCGCCCGATGCGCAGCAGCACGGTCGACAGACTGTCGAACACGGCGGCGACGGGCACGGCGGCCAGCTCGCACGGCACCAGGCGCTCCAGCTGGCCGATGAACGCGCTCACCAGCTCGAACTCGTCCTGTTGGCGGAAGGAGTGGTCAGGCAGGCAAGAAACCGTGCCGGGGCGCGCGGAAACGTCGATACGAGCTGCAGCCGGCCAGACGTGAGCCGCGAGCTTGGGGCGGGGGGAGGGCTTTAGGGTGCATCTACCGCACGGTCACACCGCAAACCGCGAGCTGGCCTATACGTTTAATAAGCACAGCATAAGTTAAATGCGGAACGGGCCGATTTCTGCACCTCACACTTAACCCAACATAGAGTAACATCTGTGACTACCCCACCTTCCTGGCGCAGGCATAGATGAAGTTGTAGACGATCTCGCAGAACTTGACGCGTGCGTCGGCGGGCAGCGCACCGACGGCCTCGCAGCAGCGCAGCGCGGCACGCTGCAGCAGCCGCCACTGCGGCGCCGCCAGCTGGCCGCCGCGGTGCTGCAGCTGGGAGGCGGCCGAGCACAGCACCTGGTACACGGCCGCGTACTCCGGACCAGCTGAGGCGAAAGTCTGGCGGAGTACTGGCGTTAGCAGAGTACATCACGTTCAAGCTGCTTGCCATGCAAAAAAAAAACAGTTTGTGGATTGCATGTAATATAAATGGTTTACACAAATTTATCTGAATGGTTTGAATGGTTGGCTTTGGGTTCAGATAGCCTGTTGCGTGTACCCAGAACCCATCACTCAAGTCGTGCTGCCCAGTCCAATGGACTGGTCCTTTTGCCGGACAGGAATGGAGGGGAGGGGGGTTTACAATGCTGTGGCACGACCGCCCCCCCCCCCCCCTCCCCCGGGCTGACCCTGGTTGGCCAGTTTCTGGCCGGCCTTTCCACATCCCAGTCAGGCCAAACAATGCACCTACTCTGTGACTTGTATGCAACATTGCTGGATTATGAGTCCAGAATATCTCCCCTATACCACAGAGTGGCAAAACGTGACTGCAACATGAGCAAAACATGGGGTGCCAAACAGCAGCATAGACAACAGAGGCTCAGTGATGATCTCAAGATTGCCTTAGTGCAGAGGCAGCCTGTGGAAATTATTTTATGGAGCAAACAGCTTTTAAACATGTAAACAAAAACATGATGGCACAATGTCATTCTAGGAACAGCCAAACCCACACATTATAAACATTGCCATACCATACTGAAATAAATGTTAACTAAAAGGAAGCTTACCTCAACATCATCGAGCAAATCTGTGAACACCAGACTCCTTAGGCTTTCCACCACCACCTTTGACATACTCTGTGGATAAATAGAAAAGGCATTCCAGTGCATCTCTAGAATGTTATCATCAGATCAAGGCTGTTAACTGTTTGCAATACCATACATCACACAACAATGATGAGAAATAGCAAACACACACATCAAATATCAAAGAACCAGGTGCTCAGGTATGGCAGCATCATCTGATGTTATGACATCCCAGATCTTTCTTTGATCCACATTTTCCTAGGTTTTACCATGCCTAAGCAAGTTGGTGCATATTTAAAACATGGAAAGGTTTGTCCTGTTTGGTATAATGTACCAATCCTTATTAATCATCTGCATTCATTCAAATTCCATCATCCTACTCTTAATAGCTTCTAACATGACCACATATCTCAGTAATTCTGATCAGCATATTATGAGAATAATCCATTCAACTTTGAGGAAACACATTATAATAAACAGGATAGGCTTAAACATAGCAGGGTCACCAAACACAACTCATACTGGTAGTCTGAACATGTGTCTGGATCCCAAGGGTGGATCAGGATCCTATAAAGTTACATGATAATGGGATCCTGATTCCTGAGATCTTTTTGGGGTACCCAGGAATATGCATGCTAGGCACCAAAACAATAAAACATGAGCAGATGGCAATCCCACGGACCAAATCAAAAGGCACCATGGAGGACTGAGGAATCCTTCATATGCAAACTAATGCTAGTGGCCACCAATTGCCACCAAAATCGTAAATCATGTAAATTAAAACAAAAAATCATACTGAGAAGCCTGGAGAGACTTTGGTGTACAAAATCTGCATTTTATTAGTCAATTTAAGTTTAGTTCAGTGTGACAAGCGACCGACAGATGTTCTGATAAACCTCGCCCTTGCCTGCACTAATAGCGCGACTTAACTCCCATATTTTGCATTTTTAACATTAAAATTCACACCTTTCATCCACACTGTGTTTGAAGTATAATCAATACGTATGACGACAAAACGCTGCTTTCCAAACGAGAACAGAACACCCGCGCACTCAGCTATTCGCAATTATCAAACCGACCGCGGGTTCGCGAGGTTGTAGGCCTTGCGTTGTAATCATTTGCGCAGGTTATAGTTGTGACGCGCTATTTATGTAGCAGTTTGTTTCAAAATCCCGCGTCTGTCACGTTTGACCTTTTGAAAATATGAAAGTCTTAAAGATTTTCGAAATCGTAAAATAATCGTAATTAAAATCACGTATACCATACTGCTTATGATAATTATCCATTTGTGCTGTGCTTCTGAAAATTAAAAAGATGTAGTCTATGATGTCATCTTGTTTTGGCGTTTGCCAATAATGGCGCTTGTATGCGAATGCTGGTACTCAAATGAATGAAATATTCGCGTTTGTTAATGACCGTGTCTTATGTCCGCGGTGACTGAGTCGGTTGGGCGTGAACTGCGTTAAATAGATCTCACAGGGCGTTGGACTTACCTCAGAACCATGGATGCATTTTGGTGATAGGGATGTGGGCCTGTTCGTGTAGGTGTGGTTGTTGTCGGTGCAAGTTGGTGTGTTCCGCTTGTATGATTATATCGTGCCATTTGGCTTTCGCCTTGTCTTATTCATGTCGGCTTACATCGTCTGTTTTCTTTGTTTAACAGTTAATTCCAGCTAGTATTCAAGCACTGGGCGAGACATTTTTGTTTTTGACATTTGGGACCTGTTTTATCTGCTTTGATTGTGAGTTTGTGGGGCTTACAGTGGATAAAGCTGCTGCCAGTATCAGTGATGTGTTGTCACCAACCTTTCTCCCCATTCATTTCAACTGGGGACCTCTATCTGATATGATAAGTTTTGGAAGCACTTGTGCTCACTGCTATTTGTGATAATGCAGTCCAGAAATATGTTGATTTGCACAGGCACAGCACATATACAGCTGTACAGTTGCTATGTTGTACTATTTTCAATCTACATGTATTTGTGTGTGTGTGTGTGTGTGTCTGTATGTGCATTTGGTCATGACAAGTGCACCTTCATGTTATAATGTTCTATGTTAGTGGACCAGTCATCAGTTATTTGTTTATGATGACCTTTAATATTGCTTTTCAGCTGATATGTCTAGCATAGATGCCATGCTTTTCAAGTCTCCAAAGCATGTCAAGAAGCAAAGGTTTCAACCTTTTATTATCAAGAAAGGAATTGTTATGAGGGCAAAGCAGAGACAAAAGATAGCCCTGGAACTTTCTAAGTCAAAAAATGATAGTAGTAAGTATGACACCAAATGCAATATGTGTGTTTTCCTAGGTTGGTGAGTGAAACTTGTTATGTAACTGAGTGGGGCAATGAAGGAATAAAAACCTCACAAGATATGTGCTCAGTAACTGCCCACCTTTTGATGATGAAGGTTTTTTGTTGGTATGGTGTAATGAAGCTATTTTGTAAGCAATTTTAAGTTGCATGATTTGTCAATGAATTTGGTTTGTCTCAGTTGTCAATTTGCTTATGCCTCATGACACATGTGCCTTTTTAGCTATGTATAAGGATCCAAAGCTCATCAAGCTGAAATCAAACAACAGAAGCCTTTCTCGAGCACTCACTGAACAGAAGATTGAAAACAAATGCTTGTGAGTATGCACTGTGTGCTTTTCTGAATCTAGTTCATACATTTGATTGTTGTTTTATATTCACATGCTTCTGGCTACTATCTACTTGCCATAGTTGTTAGGCTGTCACATAAGAAATAAGTGGGCTGCAAGATGGTTGAAAATATGCATGAATATTCTACCAGCCTTTTGTAAAGTCAGGTATTACTTGCACATAAGTGTTGTAATGAAGCCTGCCAAAGTTACATAGTTACAGGTAGCCTTGTTGCTCAACAGATTTGATGAGAAGATTCAGCTGCAGAAGGAGGTCCTTGGGAAACATGAAGTGATTATGGCCCTTAGAAATGAGGTTCAGGTAAGACATGAGGGAGGCAGATCACAAAATCATACCAAATAACAGGTGCCAGATAAAGGCACAAAAACAAAGCATTTTTGGGGGCTTTATTCTTCCATAGTTGATTATACAATGAGTCTTCAAACTGCTTTATCCAGCCAGCTACACCAGAAATCCATGATCTTGATTCATGTCATGGACTCAGCAAAGACCATATAGTTCAACCTGTTTGATACATGACATTGTGAGTGATCCCTGAGACAGACTGTGTTATGTTGTCACTGCAGAACCTGACAGCATTGTCCCCAGGATGTGTTCCAAGACATTGACTCCACCATGTTTGGAACATTTTCCATAGCTTCTACCTCTAACTCTGTTCATTGACCACATCTCCACCTTGTTGGGATCCTTCTGTGCGCCGTGCACATTTTTTAGCTTGTTTTGCGATCATGGACCTGTTGTGTTTGCACCATATTCCCTGCCATGCTATGGCCTGTTCCATAACCGTGCCGCGCCCACCCGCGCAGGCACACGACGAGGACCTGACGCGGATCAACGACGTGTTCCGCGGCTCGCTGCAGCTGCTGCTGACGCTGACCGAGCAGCTGAACGTGGGCTTGCAGAGATGCGTGGCTAGCCGGCGGCGCAGCAAGTCTGTCAGCATGGGCACCGGCGGCGCCCGCAGCAGCCGCTCCTCCAGCCTCGCCTCCGGGCTGGTGGCGCCGGGCACAGGTTGGTGCGGTGAGCTGGCTCCCGCCAACACGTGGCGCTCTGCCCCACCCCCTCCCAGGGTTGGCTGAGTTGGACCACTGGCCTGGAGGCGTATTGAAACATCCAGCATTCATAACTTGCGACGGCCAGAACGTCAAAAATCGCGGCACCCAGCGTTCATACCGTACAAAAATCCTGCAGTGTCCCCGGACAGGAAAATGACAGCATCCAAGCTTACAGCATCCTGAATCACGCCATCTAAGTTCATGGCGCCCAGTGTTCATGGCGTTCAAAGGTCTACAAATAGTGTCATTTAGAGCCAATCAACTGGATGTCATGATTGTTGGATGTTGCAAATATTGAATGTTGTGACTTTGGACATTGCAAGCTGAGAGGTTATGAGCTCGACCAATGGGCACGGCATTGGACGTGTTTTGGACGTTATGACTGGATGTTGCGATTTGGGATAATGATGGCAATGAGTGCTGCAGTCCAGGATGCTTTGATAGTTCCCTGCTGACCTACATGTCACAGTGTGTATGTGCGTTAATTGTAGAAGGCACGCCCACGGATACAAGTTATTACTTCTTCATGTGTGTGTCAAAACGTTTTGGTTGCTTGGGAAAGCAACAAACTGCACTATCACACATTGGTGTCAGGGCATCTATGAGGACATGATACAGGCATTAATATGCAGATTATTCTGTAGCTCTGATTGTACATGGAAATATGATACTGACACGCCGACAACGACCAATATATGTGGATGCACTGGTACATGCATGGAGTATGGTGCAGTACAAATTTGCAGTTTGACATAGTAAAATAATTTCGTCCCCAAACTGGTAATAGCAGCCGCATAAAAAGCCAAACTAGTTTGAAGGTAGGGCCGTTGAAGATGTGAAGTAACATCTGTGTCGCCAATTTCCGATGATCTGGCACTTTTTTGCGTTCATGTCTGCCTAATTGTGACAATGGCGTGCGTGCGCGAGTTAGCCGCGGTATGATTGCCTCACCGTCGCGCGGCGCCGCTGTCCGTGACGCGTTGTGTCTCCTCCGCTCCAGACGGGGTGCTGCTGTCCTCGCTGCCCAACGGCTCGGCCGGCCCCAGCAAGAAGTTGCACAAGGTGCTGCCCACGGTGGCGGGCAACGTCATCTCACACCCGTCCATCGTGCTGCCGCGCCTGCCGACCAGCTCAGGCTGGTTCGCGCCGCCGTCGGCGCCGGGCGCGCGCCGCGTCCCGTCCTCCGAGGACACGGACGACGAGGAGGAGCCTGAGGAGGAGCCGGAGCCCACGCCGCTGCAAGGTGGGTCTGGCGGCGGCCGGCGACGATGCCCGGTGCTTGTGGGCTGTCTTGTGCTGCGGTGTCCTGTCTTGTGACGCGTGCGTGGTGTCCTGCGATGACTCACTGACCTCGCTTAGTGACTGAGGTGGCGGTCAGTGTCCGCTGAAAGCGGTTCGCATCTATGCGTGTGCTTTTGAATTCTTTACTTTCTGCACATTCTTTGAAGACAAGACGCTTCGTCAGAGTAGTATGTCCGCGGCGTGGTTACCTGTGATCGGACTCAGACTCGCAGCTCGTCGACCGTCCGCCTCTGAGCGAGCTGACCGACGCCTGGTGTGCTGCGCCGCCGCCAGACTCGGGCGGCCGGCTGCCGCTGGCGACGCCGCTGGCCGACCTCTCCGTCATCCTGGAGCAGTCGCTGCTGGAGCCGGACGGCCTCAGCCCGCTGCGCGAGGCGCTGGTGGTGGTGCCCGCCGAGGAGCGCCTCTCCGGCGACGAGGCGTGGCGGCGCCAGTACGAGCCGGACTCGGCGCGGCGCAGCCAGCCGCGCGCCTCGGCCGGTCGGCAGGCGGCCATCGGACCCGGCCCCGGCCGCCCGGCGCACGGCGTCGCCGGCCGGCGCGGCGCGGGCGGCAGCGACGCAGCGACGGAGCCGGCTCGCCGGCCGCGCTCCTGGCCTCCACTAGCGCCGCTGCCGGTAAGCTGCTGGCCGCATGGGACCTCGTCAGTGGGTGCCGCTTTTCATAAGCGGTGCAGTTGTGAGCATGCACTCTGGCTTCTTTCTCCTTTTTTTTGCTGAACATGGTGAGGTACATCTGTTAAGAGGCATGTACGGGCCCGAAAGGATGAGGGTGCTCGCGGTAGCGGGGCAGGACGTCAGCGAGCATCTGAAATCCTCCTGGCGCTCGCTTGTACTCGGACCAGTTGTGCTGCATGGACCAGCTGCGTGCCGCTCCTGGTCTGGGGTACCGTCGAGCCACAGACCTCTGCGGCTCGGGCTGGTCTGACCCCTGGGCGGCGCCGGCGGATGCGGCGTCACGCCCGTGTCGGCTGACCTGTGACGACGCCCGTCCCTCCGACAGCGGCCGGCGTGGCGGGCCGCGCGGAGCCGGCCGCCGACGCCGCCGCCGAGCTGGAGGAGTCGGTGGTGCTTCAGCGCCGGACGCAGCGGGGACGCTCCGTCGCTCATCGACGCTCGGGTAAGTCCTGCTCACCTGGGCCCGGCGGTGGCTCTGCGGCTCTGAATCCGTGAGGCCGTGTTGGGATGCCAGGAATGTGTTTTTATTTGCTGCTGGTTGCGAGCCAGTGTCTTAAGGTTGGCTTGTTTGTGGGCTAGTTTTGGGTGGATTTGGCATCGGTGGTAGCTCACGCTGGGGTATCATGGAACACTTCGTCGGATTGATTGGTTCGTTATGGTGACAGCTGTTGTCGGCTCTTTGTGGAGCTTGTAGCTGGTTTCCAGGATGTCTTGCAACAACTATAAATGTAGTATGCGTCCCGTTTTCAATTATTGACGTGGCGGTGACATTAGCTGCAGCTTTACGAAAGGACTGAGGCGAGTTATTAGTATTACTGATGTAGTAACTGCTAGGTCTGTCGTCCCCATCTGACGTGTTAGCATGTATACAACATTTCGGACCGTGAACCCTCCGGCCGTTGTCAGCTGTTACAAGAGTCATAAGAAGGACTGGATGATGCTTGGCTCTCAGCCATGCATGCGTCAAAACCCGAATTCCCTCCTTGGAATCGCTGGCGTTTCAACCTGGTGCCCCTTAATTGCGAGAATATGGTCATGCTCTATCAACTGAGCTCACTGTGCTCGTTTGGCGCACTGGGTAGAGCACTGCATTCACAACCAAGAAGACGCTGTGTATTTTAATCCCAGCAATTCTAAGGAGAGAATCGGGGTTTTGAAACGTACATGGCTGAGAGCCAAGCATCATTCAGTCCGTCATAAATTTCCTTCCTCACAATCCTTCATCATTCAGGACTTCATAAGACCTGACGACGGCTGGAGAGTCACTGGCCGAAATGTTTCATACATACTGATGCGCCAGACGTCGACGGTAGTCCGAATAATGTTGTTATCCGTGGCCTTCAGCGCGTGCCATTAGTTTATCAAAAGCCTGAGTATGATTTGCCAACCTTACAGTGCCTTGCTGGTAACCCACTGACGTTTCAATATGCCCATGATGTAGCGTGCCCGCGTGCGTCACTGTCGACCCTTTCGTTTATTCGGTAGTGGCGACGGCTGTGCAGACGGAGCCGGAGGCGGCGCGGTCAGTCGCGGACCCGACCGGTCCCGGTCGGGACGAGGTCGCCGAGCCTCGGCGGCCGGCCGGCCCTGCCGCCGGGCCGTCGCACCAGACCGCCTCGCCCGACCCGGGCGGGTCCGTCGCCGCTGCAGCCGCGCCCGGCCTGGACACTTCCGTCGTCGTGTCGCGCAGGACGGCCGCCCGCAATGCGGACGAGTCGATCCTCGCGACGTGGCTGACGTCCTCCCCCGGGCTGAACGAGTCCAGCGTCGTAGCGCGGAAGACGGCGTCCCCCGACGCGGACGAGTCCATCATTGTATCGCGCAAGGCGGTCGTCGTGGGCAAGGCCATCATTCCCCAGAAGGTGGTCTCCCCGGGCGCCGACCAGTCAGTTGTTTCACGAAGGGCATCTGTGCCCAGCGCGGATGAGTCCATCATCATCTCACGGAAGACGCGGCGCGCCGGCGACCGCACCAAGACGGCGCTCGAGCCGGCGACGGAGCCGGACGCCGAGCCGGACGAGTCGGTGGTGATCACGCGGAGGACGCAGGGCCGGCGGGGGCGCCGCTCGGCGGACCCGGACCGCTCCGTCGTCATCTCGCGGCGCACCAGGACGAGCTGCGGTGTTCAGGAGCCGCTGCCGGAGCCGCCAGCAGGTGCGCCGCTGGCCACGGGTCAGCGCGAGGTCAAAGGTGGCGGTGTGTCGTCACGAGGGGCGCTGTCCTGTGCCACTGAGAGGGTGCGATGCTTGGATTCGCACGCGCTTGAAGCTTTGACACGATCGCGAAATGGTCCCTGCATTGTTCGCACCGTTGTTCTTTTTTAATCAGGATGCCACGGAATGGATCACATTTTAAATGCTGTCACTGGGCCCAGGGAGTGGGATTCTATGCCCCGGTTCCTGCCCGTTAATGGTTACAAGTTCATAAAGCATTGTTACATCATGTGAGGAGACGTATGTCACTGATCGTCTGCTCCAGCCAGAAGTTGTTTTTACCTAGAGGTTCTAGTGAGTGATTCTAACGTACCTAGTCATGTGGGAAACCTCGATTGTCCAGATATGTAAACTGTGTCCTTTCCAGACCTGCGCCTGGGTCCCAATGTGTAATCGAGGATCCTATGGAGCCCCATGTATACGAGATCTTGGGATGGTTTTGGTGCTCCGGGCACATGTCGGGTCCCTTCACCTGAAAAACCTCATGGTTTCATCAGTAACCTAAGTGCCCCACCAATCCACTGTCGGCTGTTCTCGGCAGAGAATCGCCTGCCGGGCCTAGCCTTGCCAGGGCACGCTCTCCGGTGACTGTTGGCTCCGTTCCAGCGCCGCCAGCAGCGACAGCTGAGCGGGCGGCCGCCGGCGATGACGAGGCCAGCCCGAGCCCGGAAATCAGCGTCAAGCAGCGCTACCGGCACCTGCTCGCCCAAAAGGTCCGTCGGGCCAGCCCGCCGACCGACCGCAGGCTTCGGCTCGTCCCAGGAGCAAGCAAATCAAAAACGGGGCGCCGTTATCGGGCTTTGACGGGGTTAACTCTGAGGCGGTAGCGTAAGATTTGTTTGGTAGAAGACGGTTACGCCTAGCCTTTCTTTTGTGTAGCTGTTTGATGTGATTTACGCCTTAATGGCAAAAAAAGACTTTGTGTTAAAAGAAAGCTAAGTCTGGTAGTTTAAAATTAAAACACTTTGGTATTTGGGCCCCTCAACCTTGGTTGCTCCCCCCCCTCGCACACACACACACCCTCAAGGTGGAGTTCTGAGGCCGCCGTTGAAGTGAGTGACACAGTTCGTTAACCAATTTGATTCTGATTGCGGAGTTATTACAGCTTACAGCTTGGTAACTTATTGTGATTGGCGCATTTATAATACTTTTGATGGCCACCGATGTCGTTACGATTTTTGAGAAACATTTCGAAAGCATTTAATTGGGCAGATAGCTTTGAGTGGGCGTGCGGGTGGGGCCTGTGCGCGATCGAGGTCCGGTGCCCGTCATAGCCGAGGAGATACCTGCCGTATGACGCTCCACCCGTCCCGCAGGCGCCGCGCGCCTGCACCCAGCAGCGGGTCGCGGCCACGTCGCTGGACGACCCGCTGGAGGGTCCCAGTCACCGAGTCTGGCTACCGGCGACGACGGCGGGCCAGCGGCCGCGTGCCCCGGCCGCCGGGCACCGCAGCCCGTCGCCGGTGGCCGACACCAAGCTGGCGACTCCGCCCACGGTACGGGTGCACCGCGCCGACGCCGAGACGCCCCCCGCCGGCGGCAAGCGGCGGCGCGGCCGGCAGGCCGTCGGCGCGCCGCCCGCCAAACGGGCGTCGCCGGGTACGCCGACCGGCCGCGGACGGGGACGGGGGCGAGGACGAGGACGAGGACGCGGCAGAGGCAGAGGCCGGGGTCGCGGTCAGGGGCGCGGCCGACGCTCGAGCGTGGTCGGGTCGCTGCCGGAGCTGGACGGGCTGTCCCCGGCCGGCCCGGCGCCGCTCGGCGGTGCGGAGGTGCCTAGCTCGGAGCGCCCGCCGCTTGACCCGGAGCTGTTCGTGTATCCGGACCTGCCGGTCGCCGAGCTGGAGCCGAAGGGCGATCCGCTGGCCGACCGGGAGCCCTCCGCCGCCGCCGCCGAGCAGCGTCAGGGCCCGGCCGCGTCGCGCGAGGCGGCCGGTCCGGCGCCTCCCAGCGCGCCTCCGGCCGCCGCCGAGTCCAGCCGTCCCGCCGCGGTCGCCACCAGCGGTCGGCCGGCCTCGCCGCCACGTGCTGCGACGGAGCGGGCGTCGGCCGCCGTCGCCGAGGCTCCGTCCACCGCCGAGCCGGGCTCGTCTGCGGCCGCTCCGCCGGACTCTGCCGTCAACGCCGCCGTGGACGCGTCGGCTGAGTCGTGCGCCGGCGCGGCGGCCGCGCCGCCTGCGGACGCCCTGCCGGAGTCGTCCGAGTCCTCCGGGGAGGTCGAGCCGGAGTCGTGCGCCGCGTCCGCCCCTGACGCGGCGGCCGCGTCGTCGGCGGACGCGTCATCGGCGGACGGGGCGCCCCACGCCTCCGAGGCTTCCGCCGATCCGCAGCAGGAGGAGCCGTCCGAGGCGGTTGTGGAGGTGCAGCCGGAGTGGTCCGAGGCGGCCGCACCGCCAGATGCCCGGGAGGCACCGGTCGGGCCCGGTGGTGACGCCGAGTCTGGCACCGACGACTCACTAGAGCAGACCGCTGGTGGACGCCGCCGTCGACAACAAATATCATACCGGGAGCCCAATCTTCACAAGTGAGTAGCGCGGCGCACTCGCGGCCTCATGCTCAATGCGTTTTAGATGCAACGTACCATGCCATTGAGCGTGGAAGTAGCCAAAGCCACCCGAACGAACAGGTGGCGCTGTTTGGGAAAGTGACCTTACGTTAGCAGAGTGCCATTTCTGTAAAATTGTGTTTTAGGCAATTCCTGTAGCGAAGCTTAGATGTCGCGAATTATAAGAATGATGCAGGAACAGAAACAAGTGATGGCACGTCATACCAAGGTGCCATAATGCGTCCCTAGTTACTACCGTCTTTGTTTTGTGGCATGTTGCCAGTTTTTTACTGTTCTTACACTGACATACTTTCGATAACGTGGTGGACTTCTGATGCATGTTAGCAGTATAAATTACATCATTCTTTTTGCAAACGTGTATTTTGTGTTGAGACATTGAAAACGATGTCACTAACACTTTTTTAATGAGTTATTTGGCAAGACATGGGTAGCATTTTTCTATCACTTGCCCCATGACATTTAGTGTTGAATATTGCCATCCGTTTTACGTGTATGAAGAGTACGTTTGTCTGCCAACACTGCCGTTATTTGCGTATTTCATTATTGGAAGGAACCATGTGAACAACTCGTGGTGAGACCCCTTCCATTGGATCGGTGAACTACGTTACTAGATTACCAAGGCTGTATTGGGGGAGGGACAAAAGCAGTTCCTCTTTAGTGCATGCATTCGTGAGTCGCATATAGAT